ATGTTGGAAAAATTATTTGACTAAAATAACGCTGACACAAAATAAAACATAATTTCTCAATATAACAACAAAAGTACGCAATGCAAAGTGCAATCCAACACTCAAAGGTGGTGGGGGTTTAGTTTCCGAGACACTAAGGAGACTAGATTTACTTTTGAGGCCATCAGTTCCATAGCACTGACTCAAAGGATGGCATAACTGCAAGACTGCTATAGACCAGGTATCCAAGGGAAATACACATATAATGAGGCTGTGTTTGTCATATATTTGGGCTTGTGGCTATTCCAAGAAAATGCCTCTAGTTACTGACAGTGTGCGTCTTTTGGCAGGGGAAAGGGAACAGGATTTATAATAAACCAAGATTTTTATCAAAATGCAAAAATATAAAGGTAACTTACACTTTGGTAAGGTAAATTTTAAAGTGTTTTTTTAAACACTGTGCTGGAGCCTGGCAACTTCTTCCGTACATATTTTCATTATAAGTGTGTTACTTTTTTACCTAAAAGTTGAAAACCAAACTATCTTGACTTTTTATCCCATTTAAAACTACATTTTAATTACCAGATAATAATAACACAATTAGAGCTTCTTTTTATCAACATATATAGTAGTATTTAGAAATGCAGCATGTATCTTCGGTGCTACAGAAGACAACAAATGCTACAGAAAACAAATTACACCCCATTACCATGGCTTATAACACTCTCAACCACTCCGGAAAGCCATTTACCGAAAAAGAAAGCTAAGACAATTGGCTAGATTTCACAGACTACATTATTCTGCTTCGATGGTACATCTTGCTGAGACCAGCCTGATGTTAAAGGAATCAAGAAATATCTCACAGGTGCAGGCAAATATGGGAACATATTAAATTGTTCTTTTTTAAAAAGCTATTATTCATACTTAAAATTGGTCTACTAATACCCAATCTGACCACTAAGTCAAAATCAATGAAACAGTCATATCCAATCCATCATCCTGCCCAGTATAAATATTTCATTATATATTTACCTACTGTAGTTTATTTGCATGTAAACTGGTAACATGAGAGAATGTTAGAGGAGGAAAAATAAATTAATCAAGTTAAGGTTTGCAGAAAGGATAGTTTTATGCTCATTCTCTAGAGAAGGCTGTAGCTCAAGGACACCATTTTCCCCGCATGCTAGTTTATAAAAAGTGGTCTTGGGCATATGATTGGCTACTTATTGTCTTTTCTTACAGCAACATAGCTAACAAATGTCCAGGGATTATTAGGTCAGGAAAGATAAGAAAGACCATAACAATAGCCATGCTGACCCCAAAATAGTATTCACAGAATATTATTGAATATTTTCATTTATTAATCAAACTTTGAACAATTTCTCTGCGCGAGGCACATTTCCATGCAGTGGGAATACAAAGATGGTTACAATGTAATTTTGGCTTCCCAGGGTAATGGAAGACAGGAAGGCAAATTATTTCACTTGCAGTATCTCTCCTACTTGAACAATTAGAATGAAAGATTATGAAAGACTTCTGGGGAAAGCTGATCATATGCTATCCAAAATGATAAGTAGAAGTCTTCAGGCCTTCCAAACTCCTTCTCTTCTTATTAAAATTTTAAATCATATAATGCACTGGAGGAATATTTATAACTCAATAGTGTCTGAGTTTATTAAAAGGTGAATTAGTTGCACAACTTTCACTTAGGTATAAGCTTTGGGATAAAGATCTGTTTACTTATAAATAACCAAAAATAGAGAATTTCCTACAGGACTATTTGGTGAGAAGCTTGCCCCCAATTCTCGCTATGTAGTGGAGACCAGCATTTATTTCTATCACAGAAAATTTGAGTCAACACACCTCCATCCTGCCCAGTTTTCTTCAGAAAAACATGTATAGGGCTTTAAGGGAAAACCAACTATCTTTAAATTTAAAAATCTACACTCTCCTATACAGTACAAACACAAACTTCAAATTCAAATAATTTGCTGGCACCAAAAAATAAAATTAGTGTGGACCTTAGTTCTTATTACAGAGTTCATTTTACAGTGATTCACTGTGAGTAACCACACTTTAAAACTCATTTTCTTTAGAATGCTAGTCTTTTTAACTTTTCTTTTTTTTTTTTTAATTCTAGATCTACTCATCATAATTACTACCTTAAAAGAGAAAATCAGGAGAGGTTTCATGCCTGATTCCCTTTGTTATATTTCACAACCATACATAATTACTTTTGTTAATCCCAGTTCTAAAAAAAAGTTTTACTGTAAGTGTCAGCTGTTTGGAATTTATACTCCACTTCCTCATTGACACCCTGGCAGTAAAAATTCTTGCAAAACCTATTTAACTGTTACGTACACAATGCCTACTGAGTCTTCAGATTTTTCTCCCATTAGCAGAAAGAGATTTCATGCATGTTTTAAACATCCTTCCTGTATTGCAAAAATTTAGTCATCTGATTTTGGAAGAACATTCCAGTAGGGAAACATGAGGTGACTCACTACACAGTTATAAAAGCCTCTTAACGGGTCTCTCCCAGCTTCCAGCCTGTCCCTCCCACATTGTCATCCATTGTGATGTCAGTTACCATAAGAATCTGGCTAAGTAATAATACACCCTACTGACAAACCTTCTTACCTGGAGAACTTTACCTGTGGGGAAAAGTCCAAACCCCTTACTAGGCATAGAAGACCATTCCCAACTGGTACCAACCTACCTTAGTTTCTCCTTGCCCCCTTTTCATATAGACTGCCTGGGGATATTCTCGCCGTTCCTAATAGATCCTGTTCTTTCACCCTTCCATACTCTGGAAAAAACTCTTCTGCTTAGAATGTATTCCTATCCCTTTACTTGAACATTCGCCAACATAGGTCAGTTCAAATATCTTTCTCTATGGAATCTTCCCCAACATCCTTCAGAAAGACTTAGCAAATCTAGTCACCTTTTGCCCCTCCAAAATAATTGAGCATGATGTTTATAGGAGTCCAACAAACACCGGCTATATTTTGAAAGCATACACATGCTTAAGCCATGGGACTGGTCATAAACTGTTAAAAGCCACAGTTAAAAACCACAAGGATAATCCATACATCTATATGTAGGTATATAATAATCAACATACATTAACAATAAAAAATAGTCTTAGTTATGTTTGCAAACACATTGAATCATAGATTACTAAAAATTCACATGTATAAACTACTTCACCTTAAATATTGGTAAACATTAACCATCCAGAATGTCATGACAAAAACGCTCTTAGCCAGAAAAAATTCAGCAGCTTCCCCGTCAATAAAGTCTCACTGTCTAGAGCTTCAAAATTCCTGCAATGGGCCAAATTCACTTAATTGAAAAAGAATAAACCAAAGATAAAAAAGAAATGTAATTAGTCTCCTGAAGGTCAGCAGCCCGGCATTGAAATTTTCCGTCATCACAATTTTCCGTCATCACCTTAGAACAATTCTCAAGGTAGTGATTTAGTAAGTTAAAAAAAAAAAAAAAAAAACACTACCATTCTCTATCATACTCTATAACTAATAAAGAAAATATATCCATGCAAACAATAATTTAATACACAAGCCAAAATAAAGTTGCGTCCAAAAAGAAGCTAGAATGTTGGCGATTTACTTCCACTATGTTTGGGCACCTCCAGTATTTATATCTTACATATTAAAAGGAAGTTTCACAATTCAAAAGCGATTTCACGTAAATCCTGTAACTTTAGCAGTGCGGAAATTATTTGTCCGCATTACAAACCCAGGAAAATCGCAGGTAAAAGACTAATCAAAGAAATATAGCACTTCCAAAAAGAAGTATTCTTACTACAACAAAATGGCCCAAGAAAAATGAGCACGCACACACGCCCCTTTATTCCATCACTAAATTTAGTTCCGTGGACCTACTGGTGGCTCAGCTGATTAAATGAACGTCAAAATTTCCAATTATGATAACCTGGACCAAAAGTTCCGCCTCCCGGCCTCTTTCCAAGTGACATTAACTTCACAAGCGAGACCAAGCTCCATTTCTCAAAACAGTTTAAATGTGAACACACCCTCGGCGCGCACCCAGGAGACTCCCCGAGGTCAGAGTCAGATCCATAGTAGTCTGAACGGAGTCTGGAGTATCCAGCTTTGCGCTAGATGGGGGTGGGGAGATCCGCAAAAGACTCTGTCAAGCAGGAAACCGAGGAAGAAGAACCAGACAGAGACCAGGGCTCAGGAGGGTTTGGAGCGCCAGACACTGAACCTAGGGTCTAAACACTGTCCACACAGCTGGAACGGCTCCGCCTCCCGACCCCAAGTCCAGTCGCCAGGCCAGGCCCCTCCACTCCCAGGCACCTCGGGATAACTCCGAGGTCGCAGCCCTAGGAAATAACAACCCCAAAGGTCCCTGGGGGCGGACACCCACCTGGCCGAGCCCCACCAAGGACTGGGCCTACCAAGCCAAACAACAGCAACCACTGGAAGCGGAGGGTCCCAAAGGGCGAGCCCGCGCGGGATCCCATCTTGGCCGATTCCTCAGGTTCTACTCAACATTCGATCGCTCCTGCCTCCGCCTGCTCCATCATTTCCCAACCCTGCCGGGGCCCCAGAGCTGGCAGGGATGCGCGCGCCCGGGAACGAACACGCGCTCGCCACTGACGCAACTCCGCTCTTATCCGAGCTCGCTCCCGACATCGCGCTCGCTACCGCTGACGTAGGGAAAAAGCCAGTCCCAGGCGAGAGAATGGGATTGCTATCTGTCGGCTAAAACCCGCACTAGGCTGCCCCGCCCATTCACTGTCCGCTCCTGTTTCTACTCCCAGGCCCGCCTACTCTGGGGGTCGAGGGAACCTATTGGAGGAAGCACTAAGAGCAAAAGGAGGAGCGTGTGACGCAGAGAAGAGGAACTGAGAGGCAAAGGCGAAGCACAGCCCCGCCCCCTGCGCAGCCTTTTATGATTGGTTGTCGGGGGCTGGGCGGAGCGCCGGGCTGCACGCCCATTGGCTGTTTGGCAGCGAGAAGCGTGCTACCGGGAGAGGCCCGACCAGGCAGAGCTTAGGAACCCCGGTTCCCGCCGGGGTTTGTGGTTGAGGGGGCCCGGTCTCCGCCACTGGGTCCGGGAAGATGGTGCTGGGTGGTTGCCCTGTGAGTTACTTACTTCTGTGCGGCCAGGCGGCTTTGCTGCTGGGGAATCTACTGCTGCTGCATTGTGTCTCTCGGAGCCACTCGTTCAACGCTACCGCGGACCCGGAGCTCACATCCGCTGGCGCCGCCAATCCGGAGTTCTCCGCGGGTGCTTCGAGCTGGGAATATGGCGACCCCAACTCTCCAGTCATCCTTTGCTCTTACCTGTAAGCTACCCAGTCGTCGAGGCAGGGAGATGGCGGTAGGGCAAGGGATATAAGGGTGTTGTGCTGGGGGGAGGCGGCGAGGTGGGCTGCCTTTTTTTTCCAGACTCTCTTCAGCCGAGGACCTGATAGTCAGCAAACGGGAGGTAAATATCGTGACAGGTTTGTCACTCCTCTCACTCGTGCAGGGGAAAACCTTGCGTGTGGGTAGCAGATTCTTTGGGATCCAACGAAAAAGAGAACTAGAAAGGAGTGACATCACAGAACCTCCGGAAGAAGGGTACGAGGTAGCACCTTCTCCATCCTGCTTCCTTTTACCGGAGAGAGACTCCATCGTAGGGGCTGGTACTGTGTGAGACACAAATGAAGTAAATTAGCTGTTCCCGCCTCCAAAGTACTTCCTGGAAAAAAGCAGTATCATTACCGTTGCAAAATCAATTCATTTTTTAATATCTCTTTAAAGGCATTTGGGAAAGGCAAAGAGAACTGGGACTTCTTTGGTCTCAATTTTGCCCTGATAGCCTTGCAGCTGCTTACTTACCTAGGGGAGAGAGGAAGCCATGGCAGAAGTAGAACCCGCGTAGAAATAGGATCAGAAACAATCCTCTGCCCCAATAAAAGGACCATTTGGAGAGCTATTTGACCTGCCATGCTTCAGTCTACATGATGCCATCTCTTGTTTTGAGGAAGAGTCAGAATGAAATTAAACCCCAAAAAAGTTGAAGAAATGTCACTTGCCTGGTTTGATTACATACATGTAGACAGCCATTTGTAAAAACCATGTGATGATCATGATCTTACTGGTGATTTATAGACCCGATGAATTCATAGAATGTGAAGACCCAGTGGATCATGTTGGAAATGCAACCGCATCCCAGGAGCTTGGTTATGGTTGTCTCAAGGTGGGTTTTTGTTTTGCTTCCTAAACAAACGGTTCCAGAAATGCATGAAAACGTTACAGAAAATTATAAGCCTTGTAAGGAGTATGAAGTTACCAGTTTGTAGAATTCATTAGAATGACTGTTGTTGGAAATTTCTGGCATGACCAGGGTCAGTAACTAAACAAGACATTTAGCTTCCTCAGGAAGAAGCAGTCTCGGTGTCAAAACTACCCAGGTGCAAAGAGCAACCTGTGTTTGGTTCCTTTGGCCATTCATGCAGATGGATTTGAAGCTAACCTGTTAGCCCTGACTATCCTTCAAGGCATGCACTTTCCTTAAAGAGCAAAAGAAAGGCTTGTAAACATTCAGGGCACATGACTGGGTTGCGGACCAGGTCCCCAGTTGAGGGTGTGCAAGAGGCAACCATACATTGATGTTTCTCTCTCCCTTCCCCTCGCTCTAAAAAATAAATAAATAACGTCTTAAAAAAAAAAAAAAAAAGACAATTAAGCACTACGAGAGCCATCATACAGAAAAAAACTAAAAATTAAAAAAAAAAGAAAGGCTTATACACTTTCTAAAACAGATGATGAATTGAGCAGTATGTTTGTTACACATTCATTTGGGGCAAAGCTCTTCTTGCCAATTAACTTTCTTTATACCAGGCAAGCAGTTTCTACCATGTCTTTAGGAAATAAATAGGATTTATTAGCACATGTCTTTGTAGGAGGTTATAGCATTCAAGGAATGGCCTCTTGGAATGGACAGAAACCATTCGTTTCCATTAATAATATCCCTAAAGGCAGGTGCACATTGCCCAGTCAGACTCCCGAAAACCAGTGAAATTCATGTACTTTCTCTGCACTGTGGACTCAACATTATGTTACATTGTGCTGCATAATGCCAGTCAAGACACAAGTGTTACAGGATTATGGGAAAACATTCTTTGTACTAATCAGACACAGGAATAAACCCAAAAGTAATAAAACTTAAAAAGCAACTGACACTGCAATCATGTGTAAACAAATATTCTTAATACGGAGATTTTTGTTCTCTTGATAACCACTGATAGAAGTTTGAGTTAGCATTATATAGAGATCACTTAATTTTGCCCATTTTAATTAAAAACTGAATTGATGCTGTCTGGGCACTCAAACTGTCACTTCCCCCCAGAAGTCCTGGAGGACTGAGGGTACTCAGGCACCTGAGTCCCTGGGGGAGGTGCAAGGGGAGAGCATCATTATTTCCTACTCCCTTCCCTTTGAGAAACGCTCTGACAAAAATAGGAGTGAAGCTCTTAACAAGGTGCCAGTAGAGAACGCACAGTGGTGCTTTCTCTTCCAGAATTCAGTTACACAGGGGGTCAGAGGTCCTGTTCTGAAATTTTTTGCTGATTTTAAAGCTACTACAAATATCTGTTAATTACACATTCATGGCCTAAATAAAGTCATGAGTCAGTTGATATTCTGAGTTTTTTCCTAATTATGTTCATTTATAATATATATAAAACAGAACTCTAATACACATCAACTTTTTAAATACCCATTCCCAAATGCTCAGTAATGTGCTCTTTTTCTTGTAAATAAAGGATAATTAAAGCATTATGTTCATCTACTCTAAATAGCATTAATGAAACTGATTATTAACTATAATATTGAAGAAGCCAGTCATAAAGAAGAAAAAAGAGGGGAGTTTATTTAAAACAATGCACATTTAGGATGCACTAATTTATAATCACTTGAAGTATGTCAGTAAATTCCTTGTTCTTTTGCACACAGCTTGACCCCAACTTCATTAGCATAATTATCATCCTGAGTCAGTTTTTATTCATTAAGATATATTTTGTGTTACTTGCTTTGGTGAGATGTTTTCTGTTGTTGTTGTTGTTTCTTTCTGAGTTTGTTTTGGTTGTCATTCCACAGTTCGGTGGTCAGGCTTACAGCGATGTGGAACACACGTCAGTCCAGTGCCGGGCCCTGGATGGAATTGAGTGTGCCAGTCCCAGGACCTTCCTACGAGAGAATAAACCTTGTGTAAAGTAAGTGTTACTTTGAATGGGTTAGTTGGTACTTGGATGAAAGTAGAACTGTTTTCCTTGTCATCTCTTGATGTGGCTCTTTTACCTTAAGTGTTAAAGGATTACTACTGTACATAATCCATAAACAGGAGCAATGTAGTTATAATAGAGCCGACACTGGACTTAAGACCAGAGGCCATAAGTTCTAAATGTCTCTTTCACCAACTAGCTAATTACCTTTAGGTGCCCATAGTCTCTCCCCTCATCTGCGAAATGAAGGAGTCGGACCAGATGACCTAGCATCAAAATTCCTATTATAGGAATTTATAAATTCTGTGAAAATAGCCATTGTATTTCAGGAAGAAAGGTTTTATTATGAAAAGTATGGGCCTTTCCCTGAAAATCAGTTTATCTTACACTTAAAGAATTAGCATTATTTCTGCAAATTCTGCTTGAAGGGACAGAATTTTTTCATACCATTTGCTAATGAAGAGTCTGTGACTTTTAGTAATGCAATTGAGTTTCATCACAGTATGTAAGACACAAGTCTTTATGAAGATGTCCCCATTTTTAGTTGCAAAGAGTCAGCAAAAATGTATATGGAGATGAGCATTTGTTTAAGGGAAGACAACGCTTTGTTAGAGAACTGCATTCAGAACTGCAGCCTCAGGAAAGGAGTCTGTGCAAAGGGAGCAGCAGGCGCCCAGACTCCACTCCTGCCAGGATGCCTGTTGTGCTAATGGCTTGATTATTTCTTGTCCAGCCCAACTCAATATTTATCTTACAGGCCCTCCATATCTTAGCAACTATGCTTTTGAGATTCTAGGCCCACGAGAGATCTTTTGGAGGGGGATGGGTGGCAAGAGTGTAAGAGGCCACAGGGGGACTGGCCTGCACCATCTTTTCACTTTCTTTACTTCACTGATCAGTAAGTGTTTTAATTTTCATGCAGTAAACATCTTCCTTTTCATTCCTTTTGTCTAGGTATACCGGACACTACTTTATAACCACGTTACTCTACTCTTTCTTCCTGGGATGTTTCGGAGTGGATCGTTTCTGTCTGGGACACACTGGCACAGCAGTAGGCAAGCTGTTGACACTTGGAGGACTTGGGATTTGGTGGTTTGTTGACCTTATATTACTTATAACTGGAGGGCTGATGCCGAGCGATGGCAGCAACTGGTGCACTGTTTATTAAAAAGAGCTGCTGCTATGGCCGAGAGAGGCCAGGCTTCTGGATTCGTCTCTACAGGATCACACCTCTTCCTTGATATCAGACCTGGCCGTTACTTGCCCTCTTTGGAGAGAATGGCTTTGGTTATGAAGGCTTCTTTGGACTGTGGATTTTCAACCCAAATTTTGCCTTGCAAACTAGATACGGCAAGCAAACACTCTTGTGGAAACCAAGTTCAAACCTTTCTTTATGTACAAAAATATAAAGGCTAGCAACTAACTTATAAGCTGTGGAAAGGTTTCTATACTCTTTCTTTCTGTACATGGCTATACCATCAAATCCTTTGGAGCAAAGGGACCTAACAGGATGAGCAAAGTGAATATTTTTAGCCTTGTGCCTTTTGTGACCCTGAGTCTCATGCAGAAGAAAATGGAAGCTGAACCAATGAAAATCTTCAGTGGAAGTAGAAATGGCTGTGCATTTTAACACAATGCTGAAATTCCGACTTTGTGAATTTAAGCTGCATTGTAAATTTTGCCAACCTGGAATGCTGTTTGGGTATTCTCAGTATGTAGAGTGAAACTCAAAATTATCTTTGTTGCACTACAAGCTAGTCAATTGAAGTGAGCTACCCTATTAATGAACCCTATTGTTCCGCCATGATTATGCTTAAGAGGCATATATATACATGGAAATATATATATATACACATGGAAATAATTTTTTCACCCCATTATGGTTTGAAAGCCAGCAATATTAGACCTGTCTGGGTTAGGCTATCCTCTCGACAGAATTTTCCTGTCTGAAAAGTAGCATTTACCAGTTTAGAGAGCCCATGTTGTAGGCTGGTAAAAAAGAGATTTCATACAAGTGATTATAAAACTGTTCTTCATGATGAGGTAAGATAAGGTGAGGAGCATCATGCTCTTGGAAGGAAAAACAGACTCTTAAATGATAGTATTACTGGGTGATGGGCAGATTAGGATGTGATTTGTGAGGAGAAGGAGGAACTGAGGGCTTTATGTCAAAATAAGCTTGATACCAGAAGCTCCCCCTGTGGCTACAGTCAAGAAGAAGCACACCCAGGCTTTTGTAGTCCCAGATCACTGGGGATGAAGGAAATGTTTTGAGCAAGTGGTTTTATAAACTTAGTTCCCATCCTTTGCAATCCAAGTTGAAAAGAACTGTTAAATACAAAGTAAAGGAACTTTATGGATACGTCAACTAAAATCCTGCTATTTGGAATAACTTAGAAATTCTTGAAACAATCAAGGTAGAACTGTCCAAAGTTTACTTACATAATAATTGGCTTAAAGACCAAGAATCGCAGTTAAAATAACTGGATATTCTTCATCATTGTGAAATGGCTGTCCAAAAAGTTTCAGCTTTATTACGCCTGATCAGTATGATCACTGTTCTTATATTATTAAATGGTGGCAATTGTGTAAAAAGTAAAACAACTTATTTTGTTCTGTCTTGAAATGTCTGTACCACACTGACCTTAATCTTTACAACAGTAATTGGAAGACTTTTTATTCATAATCTCTATACTCTAAGGCAGTGTTTTTTAAATTGTGGGTCATTAAGAAACTGGACCCTCTCCCCAGAAAAGTACACAAACGCATCAAATTTTGCATAGGTGTCATATTTAAAATCTCACTTCTAAGAGAAGGCTGGAAAACAAACTAAAAATAAAATCTTACCCAGAGAAATATACCACCATAAGCCACAAATTCCGCCCCATCTCACAACTTTTTTTTTTAATTTCCTTAAAGATAGTCACAAACCCCATCAAAGACTTTTTTTTAAAAAAACACACACACTTTGGCAGCTTTCAGGCTCAAATCATTAATGTTGCCAGGAGGAAGGGCTTCGGTAAAAAGTAAAGTCTATAATTTAATTTATTGAAGTATTTATTTTATAGAAGCCCTTCTTGCAGTCAGAAAAGCTGTGGGAGATCGAAGCTGTTTCCACTGCTAGAGTGAAAACTTGAGAATCTTCAGTAATCTTCGTGACAATCCACAGTTGTTCAATTCAACTTATAAATGATATCCATCCTCTGTATCCATAATATGATGCAACCTGACAAACTGATTGCATAAAGGAATATTAATAAAAATTTTTATTTCCTTTGCACTGGATTCAGGTTGTTTCTTAATACTTGGTAGATATGTCTGTGTGTGTGCGTGCGCGGGCCTCAGCTTCCTGATGGCAGCTCTGACTGGGGACCCTCCCTGGGACTGGGGAGGGGTGACTGGATGCTGAGCTCCTGGGTGTGACAGGGCCGGGTGACACTCCTCTGATTCCCAGGAGCTTTTCAAAGAGGTGGTGCCCCACCACTGCCTGGGCTCCCTCTGGTCCCAGCAGGACAAAAAGCGAAGGAGCACCGGGCCCCCACCATCCGTGCCACCGTCACTCATTTCAACAGTGTGGCCAGCTGCTTCAAGGCCCAGAGTGCGAGAGCCGGGGACAGGGCCAGAAGGGTGGAGCGCGGCTCCCTGTGGCCAGGTTGTGCCATGGGAGGGCCCAGGATCCCTCTCCTGGAAACTCCTCTTTTTTTGGAGAATTAGGTCTCCAGCTTCCCAGCCCGTTCCCTCCAGCTAGAGCTCAGCGTCTTCCAGGTTGAGGGGTGGAGAGGAGGCGAGGACCCTGTGGTTCCTTTGGTCTGCACTGCACTAGCAAGGGGAGGCACCTGCCTGCCCAGGGACCAGGCACTGCAGGGGTTGCCCAGACTTCAGCCCACAGCCAGATCCAGGAGGCAGGTCTGGGTCCACTGTGGGAGTGTGTGTGTGTGTGTGTGTGATCCAGTTCATGAGTATGAAAGTTTTAAAATACTAAGTGTCTTTCTGTCAAGGTTAAATTAGAAACTGGCTGTTTTTCAGTTGTTCCTATCTTTAAATAAAATTTTATCAGCTTCCCAGACTTCCTGGCACCAAGTTCTTCCACTGGCTTAGTAAGGCTGCATAGCAGCAGTACCAACCCCAACCTAATGGTCCCCGAACACGTGTGTGTTTAAGCATTCATTTCCCCTTATAAGAATGAGATCCTAAAACCGCTTGCCATCTTTGGCACATCTTCAATACAAACCAGGTAATACAGCCTTGGTTTTGTTAGATAATTTCTCTTTAAAGCAAGATACTTAATCAATTATTTCAGGTGTGACTGTCAGGATCAAAGTTTGACTTCCCCGACGAACCATGACGGAAAGGGAATCATTGTCCTTAACAGCTTCAACAACATCGGTTGTGGTGGTAACAGCATGCCCATTTATGCTGACAATCACGTCGTGGTCTCTCAACCCAGAGCTGGGAGGGGGGAAAAGGATCATGAAACTCTGAGAGTTATACTTATCCCTAGCCAGAATTTAATGTCTATCTCTTATGGCACTACTACTTTGCTGGCAGTAAACATAACCAACCAAGAAACCAGAAATCACCTCAATCCTTTCAAATACAAAGACTGTTGTTGTAAGACCTGTGAAATCACCTGGAGGACACAGTATATTTACCTTTACAAAATTAATATTCTACCAGAATCCTGTGTAAGAAGTTTACCCCTCCCATATATTGGATTTGGTTTGGAATAAAGTGTTTAGCTTTGAATTTCTATTAATCTCTGACCTCTGTTAACCTCCAGCATATGCCCAGTCTAATGAGCAAACATGAAAAATCTAAGCTTCCCCAAACAGCTACACTCTGATCAGTTTGATTTTGACAGCCCACTTGCCCCTCTTCAACCAGAGTTTATGGAACAAGGGTATGTTGAGCTACACTATTAAAAGCTCTGCTCCCAAAGTCAAAAACCAGTCACCCAGGTCTAAATATTTAAGACTCTGGTTCTAGACTCCTTTTCCCCAAAGCTGTGATTGTATTGAGTCTCCTACAAATTTGTTTCTCATAGAATGTATATTCCAGGAAGAAAACCCACCTCCAACACTGCAATAAGTATATAGCTATGTTGTTGATTTGTCTTAAAGTCAAAGATAGTCTGGAAGAGGGACATAAAATTAAATGACTCCCGGAGATACCCTTTAAGAGAAACGGGAGGTCCAAGGAAGAATAATAGAAAGGATTGCCAAGATATATGGAGATTATTAAAAAATAGGAGACACATAAAGCGAGAGGATGGCGGGGTCGGGGGGGAGTTTAAAGGTAGATAGAGCTAAAAGCATGGCAAGCCTTCAGAACAAGGTTAGTTCAGGAAGATGACTGGGACGATGCACAAAGAAGGAACTTAATTCATGGTAGTTCTGGGAATGGAAAAGAAAGAAACCTGCAAAGTATTACTGAGTGCAGACTATGCAGCAAGAGGAAGTGGGGCTCAGACAGAATAAATGTCCCACAGCTTGTAAAAGGCTAAAGTAGGATTTGGTCCCTGGTCTCTGAGACTTAAAAACCCATTTTCTTGCCACTCAGTGTCTCCCTAGTAGTAAGAAAAGCAGCCACGAAAGCAAGATGATGCAGGGGTTAAGTCAGGTTCCACATCCCTGCTGTCTGGTCTGCGTAACTCTCACGTTAACCTCTCTATACCACAGCTGCTCCCTCTGTAAAACAATACCTATGTCGCAAGACTACTGTGGGCTCAAACCAAGCATGTAAAACACTTAAAATGGTACCTGACATAGAGTAAGTGGTTAATAAATGCCAGCTGTTATTACTATAATTATTGTCATTAGTATTAGATATAAGTGGATGGAGCCAGAACAGATTTCTGTGTTCTCAGTGGCATCAACCAAGCAGTAATTCCCACGTTTTAATGTGCATCCGAGTTATGGAGATCTCATTTAGAACGCAGTTTCTGATTCAGTGGTGAGCCTGTCACCCTGAATTTCTAAAAAGCTCCAGATGATGCTAATGCAGCCGGTCTGCAGACCACATCCTGAGTAGCAAGGACTTGGAGAGCTGAAATAGCTTTGGCCTTGAATCAGAAGTTAAAAATAAGGGGAAGGGAGGGGTACCAAGAAAGTCCAGAAAAGCCTGTGACAAGCCAAATTTAGTAACATGAGATCTAACACTTAGTTATTCTGAACAGGTAGTACCCTATGCTTTCTTGCCCGCTGTTAAAAGAGTTACCACAATCTAAACAGATTATTGAGCTCTTGAAAAAGTGACAGAGAGATACAGTGACAGATAAGAAGTTTAAGAGAGACACCAAGGAGAATAATTGTTGGACAAGCCACCTCTTCCCTCAGTAGTTAGTATAAATGTTCAAAACAACAGTAAAGTCAGCTGGAATATATTCTTTGGAAAGCTACTCTAACCTTTGCTTTATTCACTTTATTAATTCCTTTGTTTAATTAATGCTGCCCTCTAATACTGTCATCCAGAGTTCAAAGAAAAAAGTACTTTAAGGTACTTAAAATATGTTCTTAAACTTTTAACCCTTTGGATTCTTCTGATTCTTAATAACTAAGGTATTGAAAGGGCAGACTTGGGGATCCTAGCAAAATTAATTTAAACTTAGGCTACTAACTCCTATCATGCATTCTTGGGCTACAGAAAACCCCTCCCAAAAACAAAGGCCCTTACAGCACACAAGTCTAAATCAGCATTACTATCCAATAGCAATGTAAGGCCATCCACATATGCTGTATGTAATTTTAAATTTTCCGGTAATGATAATTTTTTCAAAAAATTTTAAACAGATAAAACCAATTGTAATAATATAACCTATTTAACGCAATGTATCTAAAATGTCATTTTAACATGTGATCTTTTAAATCATTAGTATGTATTTTACAGTCTGTTTTAAGTCTTTGGAATCCACTAGAAACAACACACAACACCATCTCATGCAACACAGCGGCTAAAGTGAAAGGCAGCCCTCTCCGTGCCCCACCCTCCCTGGCCGCCCAAAACACAGGTGTGTTTAATGGGAAAACAGTTTACATGCTTCTGGTTTCTTTAAATAAATTAAAATGAAATAAAATTAAAAATTCAGTCCATCGGTCGCACCAACCACATCCCAAGTGTTCAGTAGCCACATGGGGGCGGACCCCGTACTGGACGGCCTCAGTCTAGGCCCTGCACACCCTTCCCACGGCAGACCTAGTGCGGACAAAGGAGGCGGGCAAAGGCCTGGGCTTCCCTTACCTTTCAGCAGCTGTTCCTTGAATCACCTCATATACAAAGACCCCGGAACTCACATCAGGGAAATTTGCATCATGCCTTTTCATTTCCTGAAGAAGGCTAAGAAAAGAAGAGTTTTTCCATAAGGTTAAGAAGCACAGTGAATTGATCTGAGTCCTGGGTAAAGCCTTCGACGTTCAGTAAATATTCTACTTGTTCTTTCAAGGCTCATAGGGCGCCAGAGAGTCTTCCATCGAGCAGGTCACACTTATTCTTCCCTGGGGATGCTCGGATTCTCTATGCGAAAGCCTAGAACCATTGGACATTATAAAATACAGGCACAGTGAAAGAAACTCCTGAAAAGTACAGTGAATGCTGGTGCGGGCTGAGGCAGATACGTGCCCTGTGATAAACTGGGCCTATGGCCACGAGAGTACCCAGCTGGAATCCAGACGCTTCCGTTTCCCTGTCAAGACTTTCCAGCTATGGCTTTGCTTCTGGGGTAAAAAAAAAAAAAAAAGGCCAGACACATCCAAACCTATGCTTACTTCAAAGTGAGGGGCAGCATTCGCAGACCCAGATATTTCTTCTGTGAAAGAGTCTTTCCTGGAAAGGAAAATTATACTGTGTTACCATCAACAAAACTTCTCTCTTTCCAGCAGATCTTAAAAGGCACCGGAGTCACAGAGGTTTTTACCATCCTAGCTGCCCTCTCAGGCTGTCAACTATGAAACACGTGCCTCAGAGAACTTTTGTCATTATTATAGACACTCCTCCCACCCACGTCCCCTCTTCTACCTCTCAGGTTTCCTTCCCACCATAGATCAATCCAAATATTCCTGAGTATAATTCATGCCTGCTTTTGTGCCTAGACCCCATATTCCCACCCAAACCACCATGACAGGGACTGGGCATGTGCCACAGAACTGTCTCCACAATAGACTGAGTGCTCCTGGAAAAAACGCAAGAGGAAGAAGAAGTCCTCACTCCCCTTACCTTTCAACTGGCGCTCCTGGAAATCTGCCAAGAACTGTCGAATTCGATCTGAGGGAATTGCAAAGGAGATTCCTGCGGTCACCTTCAGTGTATTTATGCCAATCACATCACCATCCTGGCAAGGGAGGACATATCATGCAGTCACCGAGTTGTGCAAACTGAACATGCGTACATGCGTGCGCGTGTGCCGGTCTCCGTCCCACCCTGGGCAGGCTAGGACTTCTGTCCCAGCCCCTGTGCCCCCCATACTGCCCCCTGTCCTTTGGTGCTTCCCAGAGGCCCCTCTGAGCTGGCCTGTGGGGTGTGGGGAGCCCCTTGGGCAGGAGGCAGGACCACAAGTAGCTTAGAGGGTCTCCCCCCAGGTCCCTGAGCAGAGTCTCAAGGCCACAGATGCTCCTTGAGCCCCGCACAGGCTGATGGGACAGCTGTGGTGGCTGGCGTCCACGTCTTAGCCTGGCTGAGGGCCTGGGTGGGATCCTAGCCCCTGAGCCCCAGGCCTTCATATATTGACACCCCCCCCTCCACGACTACCATGTGTTTGTAAATACTCTGGCATCCTTTGGCCCTGAGGAGGTTTTTAAACGTGTTATTTACTTCTCTAATCATGACAGTTGCTATAAAATAAAACAAAAATTTAGAAAAATTAAAAAAAAAAAAAAAAAGGAGGGAAGCTAGTGACTTAGAGTCAGAGTACAGAAGGGCTAGGAAACGTGTGCTTCTTTAATTGAAATCAATGGATGTTACCTTAGAGGATGAAGAGGGTGGTAGGATAGCACTCAAGGGGACCTACATGTACAAATTCCTGCTGAGGAATTTTTTTTTTTAATCTTGGGCTCATTTTTCCTTTGCCAAATTACACTGATTTTGAATGTGAGCCATAGCTTGTTATTTCACCCAAATAAGAGGACAAGGAGTATTTGCCTTTTCATTCCTTAAATGAAGCTAAAAATAAATACGGCAAGGGCAAAAAGCTGCTAGCAACACTTCAATGAAACTATTCAGGAGAATTAGTAAATTGACTTTAGGAACAAAGCTCTACTAAACTGAAGCTGTGAAATGAGAAATACTTTCTTCCTCATGCACTTCATCATCCTCCAGCCCTTTGTTCAGTAATGGAAAGGATTTAAAAAATCATACTATCTAATGAAATGTTTAATCCTATTAGAATACAGATATAATTCAGTAGGTCTGGAGCATGGCCTGAAATTCTGCACGTGAGCCCTGACCTAGGAAACTCATTGTCGACTAGAGAAAGAAGGCACAAAAAATTGCATGCAACATTATAACTAAAAACACTCAACAACTTCACATGCAATTCATCCTTCTACAAGTAAGTGTAAGATGTCAAGATGAACCAGAGTCAGTAGGCTCATAAACTCAGAGAGCATGATCACATGATCACAGGCTCTGTCAAACAGTATTGCACTCCCGTGTTTCCACATGTGTTTGAGCAACTAGAAATGCTGGCATTTCCACTTGAGAGACTGAATAAAATTTAAGAATTAAATATGTGACAGAGCAGTGGATTTGTGTTGTGGCTTTTCTGTCATCTAAGTGGGTCAATTCTAAAAACCTGGACAGACCACATCATTAAATAAGCATTTTTGGATGGAGACAGTTCTTCATAGGCAGCAGCAGGGAGTCTTCAAGGATATACATTACGGAGTACAGCTGGTCATTTGACATAAATTTGGGCTTAGTACCCAGGACTTTTTTAACTATCCAACAAAAACAGAAAGCATGCTGAAGAGATGTAAGTAAGGTATAAGTGGCCCCAAAGCTCTCAGTTGAATGAGATCACACGCCAGGATGACACATCCACTGCAGATCTTAAATTTTCGTAACCATCTGCTTAAGATACAGTCATAGAAAAGCATCATACCACAGGCCTCTACACTGGGATTAGTCTGCACCATGGAATTTATGAAGTCTCTAAAAGGAAGAGTCATGAAGCAGCAAGGAAAGTGGCCACTTACCAAGTTCACCAGAGGCCCCCCAGAATTCCCGTGCTGAAGACAGAATTTGAAAAAAAAAAATCAGTATTTTTCTCCTCATCAACTATACATGGCTCCTAAACAGGTTTACCAAAAGCGGGCTGCTCTTTTCCCCCTGTTCCCCGACGGCAGGCAGAGTTGTCCCCCCATCATCATCAATACTGAACTCACTGCAGGTAAAAACAACAGCAAAAGGACCACCACTTCCTACAGCAGGGTGAGCTCTACGACAGACGGAACACCCAATATCATGGATGCCAGTTATCATATCAAACAGGATGAACTGTAACTACAAGGCATTCCATCCCTCCCATAAGGATCTAACAGAACTCCGGGCATCCCCGAAAGGACAAAGGGAAAAGAGGCCACCCTGAAGTCTTCTCCTCACTGCACTGCCAGTATCTTATGGACTCCCGATGGCCCTCCCACGTGACTTACATTAATTATGGCATCAGTCTGGATATAGTCCATGTCTGAATCTTTCAGCCCTAGTTCTTTTCCCTCTCGCTGGGTGGTGCTGACAATTCCTGCGGTCACTGTGTTCTGCAGAGAAAATGGGCTGCCCAAGGCCACCACGAACTCTCCAGCCCGCAGGTCAGATGACCTTCCCAGCAGCAATACAGGAAGGTCCGTCTGCACATAGGCAAGAAGGGATGGGGAGGACAAATCAGGAAGAGAATCAACCAGTGTGTGTGTACAACACACATATGACACAGTCTTTGTCGTTTGGGCGTTTATAACCCAAGAATCACCCACCCAAATTCTCACTTGTTAAGATGCTTGAGACCATCTCTAAAATCTGAAAATATTGCTTTGTAGAAATTACTATAAATAAACCACAAGTGAAGTAACTAATGAACATAAACTGACATTATCAATTTACTTAGCACCAGTCCAGCTCAAAAGGTTACAAAGTTAATTGGCCAAAATAAATAAATAAATAAATAAATAAATAAGATCACCGAGAGTAGCTCTTCTCAAACAAATCCCCTGGGGAGCTTAAGAAAATGCAGATTCTAAATCAGTGGACCTGGCTGGGGTCTGAGATTTTGCGTTTCCAAAAATTGCTTAGATAATATCAATGTTGCTACTGTGCAGACCAAACTTAATATAAAACAGGACCTCAGAGTACTCCTTAGCAACTCTGAATTCACTGTGATCACTCATGGTACTCTCAGACAGTCCTCTAAGAGAAATAAATTTCCCAGAAGTGGCATCTGTTGAAGAAAGTGAAGAAGGAGGAGGAGGAGGAGGAGAAGGGGAAGAAGAAGGAGGAGGAGGAGGAGGAGGAGGAGAAGGGGGGAGGAAGAGGAGGAGGGGGAGGAGGAGGAGGAAGAAGGGGAGGAGAAAAGACCACTTCATAGTTAATAGAAATTGTTATGGATGTACTGACTGGCATGGAAGAAAATTAACAAAAGAAGGAGTCAAAAAAAAAAAAAAACACACAGAAAAGAAGGAAATTAGAAAAGAGCAGACACCAAGTGAAAAGATGTAGTGTGAGTGCAAATGGGGTGGGGAAGAAATGTGAGCAAATTGACAGAAATCCCCCAAATACACAGGGTCTGATTTAGCCCTTGCATACTCACATTTGGCTCAATCTTAATCAGTGCCAGATCCAATTTATGGTCAATGTCCTTGACAGTGGCTTCATACTTGTCCCCACTCTGGAGCTCCACCTGGATTCGCTGCCGGTTGGTGAGGACATGGGCGTTGGTAACAATGAGCCCATCCTCAGACACTATGAACCCAGAGCCACTGGATGCAGGAATATCCTCCCCGCTGAGAAGTGACCTGTCTCAGCAAGACAACAGCATAAGCAGAGGGCAGGGAAGTCGGGATCCACTACAGACTGGAAACCTCACGTTTATCAAGCATACCTCCTGCACAGTGTTCTCATACATTTTACTTTTCCCTGTCTGTGTTTTCATTTTCTCCATGTGTAATTGGACTCTGCAGGTTCAGTGGCACTGAGGGCTGATTCCAACTCTCCTTTTCCAGGGACACTCCCTTCGTCAGAGCTGGTCAGAGCAGCAGCCCTCTGCTTCAAGGAGGCCTAATAGAATCACAGCACTTTGGACAAAAGTGGACCTAGTGCCAAATCAATGGAGGACCAGGCAGGAGGGGAATCCAGGAGGTCTAGTTTCTGTTTAGGTTCCACTACTAACTGGCCTTGTGACAGAGGATTTCCTTCCATGGCAATGAGGGGTCTGAGCAAGATCATCCAGGTGCTTTCTAGCTCTTGCATCTGACATTTAATTTTGTCTTTGGGAGGTGAGGAAGGAAAAACCCCCAGCCATCTAAGTGCGCAGAAGTTCTCAGATTTAGAGTCAGAATCCTCATCCCTTCAACGACCTTGGCCAGGTCATTGGGCCGCTTTGAGCCTCTCATCGATTTTTACCACTACCTGATGCTTAGCGCAGGGCCTGGAGCAGAAAACCAGCAGGTAGCGGACGATCTCCTCCTTCCTCCTTTACCTGCGAAACAGCAGCAAGTGAACCACAGATGGCGCCACCTTCTCAACCACCTCGGCGATGAAGTTATAGTTGCTCCTGAGCCAGCCTGCGCTTCTGGTCCCTGTGAAAAAAAATGCTCCATTCTTGGGGGCGATGGGACCCTCGCTTCCTGACCCTCTCAGAGGCCTGATCTCAAATCTCTCAGTCTATCCCCTGCGCCTCTCTCGACCTTCCCGCCCCCTCCTCTCTTCAGTGTCCCCCATCTCTGTTTTCCCTGCGATCCCGTAAGGACAACGCCTCCTTGAGGGATCCAGACCTGTCATCTCGGTTGGTACGGGATGAAGGAAGGAAGGGGAGAGGGAGGAGAGAGGGAAAGAGAAAGAAAGAGAGATGAAGAGAGAGAAAAGGAAAGAAAGAAAGAAAGAAAGAAAGAAAGAAAGAAAGAAAGAAAGAAAGAAAGAAAGGGGGAAGGAGGGGGAGGGGAGGAAGAAAGAAAGGAAGAAAGAAAGAAAGAAAGAAGAAAGAAAGAAAGAAAGAAAGAAAGAAAGAAAGAAAGAAAGAAAGAAAGAAAGAAAGAAAGAAAGAGAGAAAGAAATTAAAACGGAAGACCTTTAACAGGTGTGGGGAGGAAATTGAAGGAAAAAAACACATAGGAACCGGTAAAGAGACACCTAAGAAGGGAAGAAAATCAGGACCAAGAAGTGGAATCCCTAAGGCCGGTAGAGCAGAGCAGAACCTCCAGCGAGCTGCGCGATTGAAATGCGCTCCCTAAGGAAGTTCCCAAAGTGCCCTGAGAGCGCGGGCCCTGACACTTACCTGGATCGCTACAGTCCCCCTTCTGCACCGGCAGGGCCGGGAGCGCGCCACGGCGGCGCGCGGCGCGGTTCTCAGCCCGGAGCGCGCATAGGCTGGGGTAGGTGCGCCCGTCGCTGCCGCACACGGCCTCCCCAGTCGCCGGGCAGCCGCAGGTGCCCAGCCGGGCGCCACCCAGGCTCCGGGGGCTAAACGGCGCTCCGCACTGCAGCCCCGGAGCACAGGGTCGGCCGAGCGCCCCGCCGCAGACCTCACCCTCGGCCGCAGCGCACACGCGGCAGCAGCGGCAGCTGTCCAGCACCGGACCCGCGGAGCAGGTGGGCAGCGGGGGACAGCGCGTTGGCTCGCAGACCGCGGGGCAGAGCGGAGAGCGCCATGTCCTCCGAGCCTCCACCCCGGGAACGGGCACCGGGGGCAGCAGCAGCCACAACAGGAGGAATTGTCCGAGCCTGGCTGGTCGAAGCACAGGTCTAATCATCCTGCTCCCTTCTTCTTCCCACTCTTCCAATTACTTTACCCTGGAGCCGCAACCACTCTTAAATGAGCAACACTTGCCCCTGGGTAGGGTGCCGCCTCCACCAGTCCCAGACTTTAAAGGGCAGAGCCTGGCAGACCTCTTCACACACACACACACCCACCCACCCCCGGCAGAGAGAGAGAGAGACACACACACACACACCCCTCCCCCCCCATACATCTTCCCATCACACATCCGTCCCCTCCCCGAGGGCCACATCCACCCCCAGGCAACGATGAGAGGTCCCTAGCCCTACCCTGAGCAGGGACCTACTTTGTGAAGTCCGTGAAACCAGCAGGGGCAGACTGACAAGAGCGACCACCCACCCAAGTTCAGCACTAGGAAAACACACCACATTTCAGTATTTCACACGGTTTTATTACAAAACAAGCAACAAAACAGTTTTAGAAAATTATTTTTTGCAACATACCAATTCAGAGATCACATAAAATGAGAAGCATAACAGTTTCCATGCACTCAGCTCAGTGCTTACAGCGCAAGTGCATTTCACAGCTGAAACATACTGGTTCAAAACACAAAATCATGCCACACCTTCCTAAGCAGTAGAAAAAGGAATCAAACAGTTCGAAGAGAATAAGGGGGAAGTGACCTTGATAAAAAGATAGATTTAATAAACCTGCCCATTTCTCACATGTTCAAAGTTTATAAACAAAACTGATTTGGGAAACTCCATTTCCAAGATATTTTTACCTACATGTGACTGTTCATCTGGTTCACAGTGAAAACAAACATCAAATCCCACTGCTCAACTACTGAACCTGCTATATGATTATTGGGTCCTTGTAGCCTATGTCAGAGCAGTTACACTCAGGAAGAGAAAAAAAACCCTTCGCTTCAAGTGAACTACAAAGCTGGACCTTAAGTCTACTCTTTTTCATGGGGATCTTCCAGCCTTCTGCCCAGAAACAGATGTGTAATTCCAACATTTTGACCTGAGGTTCAATGTATGTCTATGATGTCTCACAGTATGCAAAAGGCCCAATTATGCTTACCAAGCCATCAACTGACTTGAGAAAGCAAATCCTTAAGCTTTCCGTTAACAGTGGATGGTAAATAGTTCAGCTATAGGAAAGACCACCCAAAATACCGTTACATACAGTGAATCAAGACCCCATCAAAACTCTGATTAAAAAACAGCACAACTCAGAGAAGTCTGTTTTTATTCCACAAAATGCAGTACCTTTTTTAGTTCCTTTTTTTAAAACTCAGATATAAAATTATTACAGAGCCTATGGACTTAACTACTAGCCTATAGTGCGTCCCCACCCTGTTTTTTCCATTTGGTTCCATTTTACACATTTAAAACCAAATGCTTTGGTTGTACATGCAACATCTTTGGCTCACATGTATAATGAATTAAAAGGCTGTGATGTGAAATTGGCCAGAAGGTAAGAAATAGGACACAAAAGGAATTCCAAAATAAGGTTTGGGACTGAAAATGCGTTCAAGCTTCATTGAAGATAATTATATTTCTCTAGTGTTAGAACTACATTAACAAAATTCTAACTTGAAATTCCCAAGTAGTTGCCAACTAGAGTCCTTGCTTTTCCTTCTATCATGACAATACAACCTAGATTTATATGTTTAATTTAACACATTCTCAAAATAGACCTGACTGAATAAGAAACATATCAGCTTCCTTGATGGCCAATCACTTTAGCAGTAGTACTCTAACAGAGTACTACTCTGTTTTAATTTTAAAAAGAGAGAGAGAGATCAGCAGATTTTTATGCTTTGAACACCGAAAGATTTTTGTAACTTAAATTTTTCATGAGATAGGGAATGTTTAGAGATCTCAAAAGTCCCTAACTTATTTCCATTAATTCAAAATCACTTATTGTATAGTTTCTTGGACCTAGCCAAATAATTTTCTGGAGGAAAACTGGAAGATGAAACCACAGACAAGGAGTTTTAAGAATCTGGAATGACTTCTTGAAAGCAGGCTACTTGAAGTATGTCGTAACCTTGACTACTCACAAATAAATAATTCCCAAACTGAGGATTTCTGAGGACAAAAGTATACAAGAGTCAGCAGAAAAGAGAGAGAGAGAAAAAAAGGGAGAGGGAGAGAGAGATGGATTCAGTAGTAGATTTCTTTTTTCATACCAGGACCACGAGGCAAACAATATAAATGAAGGACAGCTCCAACACAGTGCAGTCAAGAATAGTTTCCAATGTGACACTGGCTTCAAGGAAACTGAGGTTCTGGAAAGAAACATAAGATTTCCCCCAAGACACTAAGGATTTTCTGGTCACGTCTTTTTGCCTCTGCATTTGATTTGGACATAAGGCAGAAAGGGATTTACTTAGGTAAAAATGCTTCTCTTAGGCTCTTCTGCTAGTCATTAATTTTTTAATTTAATTAGCTGATCTAGCTGATAAAAGTTATAGACAGAAATCAGTTACGTTTTCTCTCCCTTTACGGAAATCTGGTAAGTTCCAGGTAGCAATTCACCATGTAAGCTGGATAGACAAATCTTCCCAGGGACCCCAAAAATCGTATCTTTTTTTTGTCAAATGAAAGAAGGCAAATTTGGGTGGGAAATGTGATCTACGCTCTTCTACCTGGGCAATCTCTAGTCAGCAATGCATAGCCTCTAAATCAATGTTTCTATGCAGTTTCTATTTTATTAAAAATATAAATATCTATCAAGATGATCTTTGTATCTTTCTGCTCTTAAGTACATGGAACCTATCAGATTACAAGGTCGGATCATGCAAATAGACAAGGTTTCATTCAAAGGGCAACGCAAAGAATAGAAAGAAAGCAATCTGCCAGGGAATACCATATTACAGCACTTAAACTCAGACTAATATTGGCCCATTAAAAAAGAGCTGTGAGGCAAGGATTCAAGGTAATCTGTCTTTGCTAAAACAGACCTTTCCTTCTGTCTGGAAAACATGGATCAAAAAACTTAGCTGGATGAACTCTAATCCATCTCTTCCTGGCACTTATTTCAAAGCAAATCTAAAACTCTAAAATAGAGATCTGATCTTTCACACAGGTGAATTATCATATACGTATCAACCCTCCACACATTAAAACATAACACCGTATCAAGAGAAATGCCTGTTCTCTTCTCAATAGTCCTAACATTTAACACTGATAAACCCATCCTTGCGGCTGGACACAGAAACCAGGTGGGCAGGTCTGTCCCTCACACTGACAGTATTTGGGGTCAAAGGATACCAAAACAAGAAAAGAGCAATTCTCAAAATTGACTGCTGCATTAAATGAATCATTCCCCACTCCTTACAAGAGGTCCCTATTTCTTCCCCCATGGGGTTCTGCGGGGATCTGCCCTGGCAGACATTCTGGGGGTCACCTGCCAGCCCCCAGATTTTAACACCTCCCCTCAAAACGCATCCCAGTCAGGTGGAGGCTGGGTCGTCCACCACTGCTCCCTCCATTCAGGTGGGTTAGTTCCCACCCTTCTACTTCACAGTCCAACTTCGGCCAATAAACAGGAATAGGGTAAAACCAGGTGACTAGCCCAAGACTCTGTGCCTGTCCTGACAACAAAGGGAAGGGACTAAAACAAGGACAAGCAAATACAACGTGATTAGGGACAAGATTGGAACTCCAGCCTCTCTCATCAGGGCGATCTTTCAATCGTGGGACAGGAGGCCGCCTGCTCTCCACTGAGCACACCTACAGGTCTAACCTAGTGATTTTCCCAAATTAAATACACTGCATTGATTTTTTTTTTTAAGCCAGCTGGATGGGCCCCTCCCACAGAGCAGCCACAGGAATATGAACGGTATAAAGGCTTTTGACTATCCTCCAACAGAGAGAGAGACTGAGTCATGGCCTCCTCCTCTGGAGTCCTCCCCACCCCGCCCTCCCTGGGCACTCCGCCTCATCACACATCAGAAGTCCGTATGTTCTCATCATCAAGGTTGAACATAAATGGTTTCTCCTTGGGGTGCTGGGGTTCCGATCGGTGCCTCAGCCGGGAGCTGGGCAATACCCCAGACGTATTGCTCTCCCCAAGTCGAGAAGTGAACAAAGAGTCCTCAGGAGTCTCTTCAGCTGGATGGAGCTTTTCCCCGGCCTGGGGGACAGGCGTCCAGGGTTGCCAGGACGAGGCCACAGAGGGGGCTTTGCAGAGGGCTTTTTTCTCTTCCACAGGTGGCCGCCCTCTGCAGAAGACAGAGTTGGGCCCACCGGAGAGGCTGGAGCTTCCAGAGCGAGTCAAAGAAATGGATCTAGAAAAGGATAGTTCCTACAAAAAAGGGAGAAAAAACAAAGGACTGTAAGGACTTCCCTGACAGCGTTTATCCCAAAGCCCCTGGAAGAGTACCCACCCAGGTCACCACTTCACAGTCCCGGACACGCTTGTGTACAGAAACCAAATGTGTCCAATGGGAATCACTCCAGAGTCGTCGAGGTCTGCCTGACAGGAAGGTGTATGTGTAGGACACATCAGAAACTCTGTTTCTCTATCCAGCCCTACCTCACCTCCTCCTACAACCAAAAATAAAAAATAAAAATGTGTGCCCAAGTCAGTCGAAAGAGAAAAACAAGACAGCCTAGGGCTTCAGCTGGAGCCAGGCTGCCTGCCTACATCATCAAATGAAACCTGCAGGCTCCAGGACAATCACCTCTAAGTTGACAGGGACTGTGCAAGAGGAAGGAAGTGACTTACTCTGGGGTGGCACTTGAGGGCCTGGACAGCTGCCCTGATCTCCTTAATCCAGCTGTGCATGTCTTCTGGACTGTTCGCCTGCAAAACACCCACAGCACTTACACAGACGTTTTGAACACTATGATTTCAGCTTTCAAGTCTGACTCAATTCTAAGTTCATAAAATCACATCATTAGAGCTGGCAGAATCCCAGAGATCATCTAGTCCAGTGGCTTCAGACTTTTGAGGACATTTTTTTCCTGCAAAAATAGTATTTGATACTTCATAAATAAAACAGCTCAAAGTAGAGCTTGCTCCGCAATGTGTCCTGAGGGAGGTCATGAGGGAGAGGAGAGCTTAGGGGCCCATGCCCTGCTGAAGTCTCTCTCTCCCTCTGGAACACAGCTGGCCTGGTCCAGTTTTCTGGAAACTGAAAACGAGGCCCTATGACTGATCTGCATTCCGGTTCTCCTGCCCCCCAGTGCAGTCATCTTTCTACTCAGCAGAATTAATCCTACCTTCAACTCCAGTCCCATTAAAAGCCAAATCCTCTACAACGCCTCCCTGATGTGTGTGATCTCCACGCAGGTCCTCTCTCAAAGCACAAGCTACCTAGGCCTGTCCGGACTCTCCATCCAGGCCTCAGAGTTGTTAGACGAGAGAGTGCTAAGCTTAACAACGTGTAGGACACTGCTGGGCCGTTAAAAAGTATTTCCCCGAAATACCTACCAAGCCCAGAAGGGGGCAGCAGCGGCTCTGTGAAGAAGGGAACTAAAGCCACCACAGGTGGAGTCCTGGGAGTGAATCAGTGCGTTGCAGCCGCGGAGAGACTGAGTTCGAGGGAACCAGCAGCGTTTACTGAGGCCTTAGTGTTACACATGCCCTCAGGTGCGGGGCACAGAGATGGGACCAAGACTGAATCCCCGACCTCCAGAAATTTTGTATTTCTTAACCTCTCTCTGTCCCCCTGCGTCCTCCCCAAATTGTTCCACCCCAATTCACAAGCCTGCATCTGCATGCCCGAGCATGTGTATCTGCAAACACCACACCCAGGACTGTAAAATTCTGCACATGTAGCCCTCACTTTCCCCATGCCCCAAGCGATTCTTTCTCTTTGCATTATATCAAGATAATACATGATCAGTTTTTCAAAAACCCTCAAACTTATTTCCCGGTCCCTGTCACCTCAAACAAATCTTACTTGGTGAGACCTGTACAGGAGAAACTCACAAGAGAAACGGTTTCACGCCCCGCACACTGGGTCAAAAGCGTGTGGCAACAAGTGTCCAAGGGGATCACCTCTCCCACATGCTAGACCTGCAGATTCACCTGCGCCCTCTCTCTCCTGGACTTTTTCCAGTTATTTGACAATCTAGCGGTTCCCCAAGGAAAAGACAAATCCATCCCTAGTCCAAAAAAATTACCAGGGCAAGGTCTCCAAAAGATTCTTCCAGAAGGTATTTTACTGATATCAGAGCTAGCCTGTCCACAAGTAGAACTATTAGGAGAATTAAGTAAATTTTTGCAGGTAAAGCAGTTTGAACAGCATCTGATACACAGAAAGAGCTTTGTAAGTATTAGTTGTTATTATTATTACTACTACTACTACATATGAAGGACCCTTATGAAGCCTTAAATTCCAACATTATAAGTATGTGCACCGCCCTCTCCCTGAGACTTTTTCCCCCATTATCTGCAGATTAATTCCTACCTAAAGGATCACATTATCAGGATCAAGTAAGAAAACATATTTGTGGGGGAAGGAGAGTTATTTTGAATTGGAATGAGATGAAGGTAATTAAACTATACAGTAGTAGAAAAGAATTCCTTAGAGATTTTACTTCTAGGGAAGCAGACGTGATTGACAGGAGAAAATGTTAGAAGACAGAGGGAAATAAAGAGGTCTCCCACATCACATAGGGGACCCCTACGATTACAATCCAATAATCAGTTTCGAGGGCTGTTAAGCTACTGTCACTCCTTCCATTACCCTAGTGAATGCTGCCCCCAAGTCCAATGTTATAACCACAAGCCAAAGGCCACCTATCTTATTGTCCTTTGAGACCTTACCAACAAACTCTCAACATGTTTTCTAGGAACTATTATAAAACTAGCCCAAGTGTCTTCACCCCAGCCTCCACTTAGCAAGGAATCACGGAGTCACAGAAATCTAGGAATCACCTGATTTAACATCTGGGGGCTCAAGCACAAGAATCAAAATCCACCAAAACCTGTTTAGATCATTTCCAACTCTCTAATATAAATAATGCTGCTATTCATATCTTTGTGCATAAAGTTTTTTCATACTTAAAAGAGTCTTCAACTCCCAGGGAAATCACCAGGTTCAAGAGTATGCATTCCTTTCAGGCTCTTACATTTATGAAAATTACATTTATGAACAATATATAAACATTTCATTTACCAACACATTATTTTTTCACACGCATCCTTGCTAGAACTACACACTACAATTTTTAAAACTCCTTGCTAATATGATAGGCAAAATAATTAAATCTCCTCCTTAAAACATTTAGTAATTAATAGAGATGGAAACTGCTTGCTAATTATATTTCTTCCCTAATTTTCTAATTCTTTTTAAGGACATTTTCCTGTCAGATAATCTAGGTAGTTAACGCAACCATGTTAATGTTAATAATAAACACCAGTAAATATCACTTACATCTTTAACCAATAGAAGTTATTTAGGAATACTATTCAAATAGAAAAGCAGATATTGGAACTCACCCCATGTGAAAAGAAAGAGTATTATTTCATTGAGATCACAATTACAATCTCTATCAGTAATTTTAAGGATGAGATTCACGGGCAACAAAAATTCAGTGAAACCTCAAAGACTGTATGCAAAAAAAATATGGTGTATGTGTATACCTATCTTTTATGAAAAGCCTGGGTTTAGCCTTTACCAAGAATTCAAAAATACCTTAAAATCCATCACAAAGGTAGCTTCATGAACCAGAGGTAAGAAACAGTGCTGAAGTCCACCCACCCCATGGTGAATCACTAAGCCTGAAAAAGGCTTAAACACAGAACCTAAAGGGAGGTGCCACGTTCCTGCCTTCATCTTTTCCTGGTGCTTAAACATGTGCATCTTTTCCTGGTGCTTTAACGTGTGCATCTGTTTCTGGTGCCTGATTCAAAAGAAACACTAGGGTTTCTGCCCTTAAGGGCAGTTTTTTGAGGTGAGGGGAACAAAAGGCATTAAAATGAGCCACTGCCATCTGTTTGGGTTTTTTTATCGCAGTCCAGCGAGCTCTTCATGAATATCTGCGATGAGTCCAGCGTTGTAACAGACGCAGCGGACTGAAACAAGGAATTCTAGAGGCCATCAAGAAAAGGCCTCCACTATCTACTTCATTCCGTTCCTCGCCTCTGCCCTCCCTTCCCCCCAGCTAATAACCTCTGCCCTCTCCCCAAGAACCAGTCCACCTTTGGACACAGCCCTGCCACATGATTGCTTCGGTTATATACACGACCTAGTTCATGCACCTCGTAGTCTGTATTAAAACAGCAAGTATCCAAAGAGTTCTAGCTCAACATCCCGGGGTCCGCGTGTGAGCCTTCTTAGGGCTGCTCCCGTCCTGGCACAGCCCTCTATTGCTGACGACTGGGCTTATGCCAACTCACCAAAACTAGTCTGCGCCACATTTCTCATTTCTAATAACCAATCCTCCTCTTGATAAGCTGCCTAATACCCTTGACCATCTACGACTGGGAAATAAGGAAATGGTGACCCTGGTTTGCCTTGTATCCCCCAAAGACGAAAATCTCATTTTGAACCCTTGCTCAGAAGTGAGAACTGTATCTGCTGATAAACTTGCTAACATCAAAAGCTTAGATACCTAATACTGCCAGGTCATGGATCTCTGTCACCATAATCCACCTGCCAGGACACCTAGTTACCCCAAGTTGATCTTCCCAACTCAATGTCGGACTACCCTCAACATCTTCGGTTCTGCACCAGGCTGCCTGTAAACAACACAAATGAGTAGGTCTTGTCCCAGCATCTGGTGCCTCGAATGCCTTCCACAGTTCATGAGGTTTATGATCTCAAAACAATTTATCTTCAGACACTCCATATCCTCATCTGTAAAGTGGAGGTGACCTCAGAAACTGCTGAGAATTAAGTCATGTGCTGCCTGTAAGTTGCTTAGCATTGTGCCTAGGATATCAAAGTGGCCATTAAACGGGAGCTTTTTGTTAACACAAAGGCAATATTACAGTGTGAGAGATGACAGGGTACAAATTATACGTACATGTGACATATAAGGTAAATGTGGCATAGAAGGTAACAACACGTAAGTAGCTGGAATCCAGCCCCATTCTGTTGCCCAGGTCTCTCTCTTCCGCATACAGTTTATTCTCTCTGCATAGCTGTCCCCTGCTCTATGGTCTAGCCTACCTAGACACCAAGCATACACAGTTCTTCAAAGCAGATCTACTGAGTATAAAGCCTTAGGAAGCAGGTCAGAATGCCCTGCATGGTGGTAGAATTGCTGGCCCCAAACTGTATCAGTAGCCGTTATATTCTTTCACTTCTTATATGAAGCACATTTTTTACTTGGAACAAATGACTGACAGACAAACTGTCAGTCAAACTTATTCAGATTTAGGTGCATGGCAAACTCTCAAAATTGAAATGAGCCTGTTTGTCTGGAAGATCATGGAAGTATTTTCTTGCAAATGATGAATTTTGAGCTTTCAAAGCAAAAATTAGAATTTCAGGAAATTTATATTCATCTCCATGAACTTGACAGCTTTCTATACTTAAAGGCTTTCTTGGTGATACTGGTGTTGATATTAACAAATGTGGTATTTTAAATATTATATAATAAAATGGGTCAACATTTGGAAAATCTGCATACCTCAGCGAGACCACAATTCTCCAAGTAACCTATGCACACAGTTATAAAATCATGCATTGGTAAAAGGATTCATTCAAAGTGCAAAATTGGCCAATGGATTTTAATGTAAGACTATGAAACTTTATTATTATTGGCTTCTAATTTCACATTGCATCTAAACATGAAGAAACTACCATTTGCCAAGTTTTCGTATAGGATCAAAGAAGGATATCCACAATTATCTGAAAAAGCTATTAAAATATTCCTTTTTTCTCCCAACTACATATCTCTATGCAGGGCCAGATTTTCTTCATATTCTTCAATCAAAACAACATATGGCCCCAGATAGAATGCAGAGGCAGATATCAGAATCCTGCTGTCTTCTATAAAGCCAGCCATTAAGGAGATTGGCAAAAAAAAAACCCCAAAACAAAACAAAAAAACCACCAAAAACCATGCTACTTCGTCATTTTTGTTTTAGAAATACAGTTCTTTTTCATAAAATATCACTTGTCTTAGTACAAATGAGTTTATAGTTACTATTTTAAAATAAATGAATACATATTTTAATGACTTTTACTCTCTTCTCTAACACCCTGTTCCTCTTTGAGTTAGCTGTGATAAACAAATTTGTCCGTTCGCTCATTTCTTTATTCAGGGCGATGCTAGTCTTTGTCTATCCCAGAAATGTGGGAGCAGAAGGCCAATGGGGCCGGAAGTGACGAGAAGCTTCTGGTAAACGTGCTCACACTCATGCAGATGAAGTGAGACCTTCGAATGTTTTTGTTGTTGTTGTTGGGGTTCAGGTTCCCCAAGCTCTGTCCTCACTCCTACCTAACGCAATCGGTCACTTGACAAAGACTTATTCAGCACCACCGGTGTGTCAGGCACTGTCTGAGGACCTTCGTAGCATGTCCGCTCAGATGTCCCAGAGACGTGGTGAACTCGGCACCGCCTCTGCCAGGCTTGTGAGTTTCCCAGCCCCTCCCTGCAGGCCCCTGTCACAGTGATTGCTGCCATCAGCCACCCTGGCCTTTCTCCCTTCACATGCTTCCCAGCCCCCTCCAGTCCAACCACCGACCAAGCCCTAGAGAGGGCCCTTTAAGAGCTTTTCCATTTTCCACTTTTGTCCCTCCACCCCAGTTTGGGCTTCCTTTTATCCCTCATCTAAATTACGACAACGCCCTCACATGGGCCTATCTTCCCCCTTCGCTCATCTGTCCTCTACAGCACGCCGCGGCTGGGGCTGGGGCTAAAGGCCATCATCCCTCCTCTACTGATGGAGAGAACAAGGCTCTGCAAGTTAGATCCCTTGCCCAACGGGTATGTTTAGAAGGTAGATCTGAGTGGGGCACTCCTCTCGTTCAACCTCAAGGGGCCCTATCCCTTGGCACAACAGACAGGCTCTTCAGCAACGAATGAGGCCAGGGCCCTGGGTGTGTGCTTTCCAGCCTCCGGGATGCCCCGCGCTCTTTTATCTCCAGGCTTTTTTCCACACGTGCTGTTCCCTCTGCCTGGGCCGCTCTCCCCTCGGCTGGCTGGCACGGCTTAGACTTGTCCTCCCCCAGGAAACCTCCTGACTCCCTGGAACTGGGGGCGGTGCCCTTCTTATGAGTTCCCATGGCAACTACTACTCAGTCTAATGTTAGCACTCATCGCACCGTTTTTGTCCTTGCTGTTTATTCCCCTATCCCCACCAGGGAGGCACTTTCTCGCCAGTGACACATTTAGCTTCCCTTGTCATATTCTGCATTCCATGCCGGGATTATCGGACCTCCTAAATGCTTTTTAAATTTACATCTATTAAGGCTTACACTTTGTCCTGTAAAGTTCTACTCCATGCCATCTACTATTGCAGGATCACACAGCATAGCTTCACTGCCCTAAAAACGCAAGCGTTCATCCATCCACCGCCCCGCCACCATCACACTGTTTTAACTGCCTGTGTACTTGACTTTCTCTCTCTCCCTCCAGCTCAGGATCTGTTCTGTGTAAGGCAGTGTCCCCAGCATAGGCAAAATGCCCGGCCTCCCAAAGATATTCTGCAAATATCTGCTATTGCCAGACCTGGAAATGCTTTTGTTGCACCTACAGCTTAAACGTTGTCCCTGGATGGCAATGGAGCCACTCCAACACCCCCAGCAACACTTTCTGCAGTTCCCCACGTCATCTCTCCGGGATGACAAGTGCTTGTCTGAATGAATGGATCCCACAGATGGCTGAGGCTGCCAGCTTGTTGGCTGGGCTCTGGCAGGGGGACCAGCTCAGAGCGGGACAAACAGAGCTGCTGCCCAACAACCAGGGAAAGGGTGACCCCTGTGGAAGGGAGAGCACACTTGAAACAAAGAGGAAAGGGCCCCAGGAACCCTGCAACGCGTTGGCTGGGGAACCTCCCCATTTAAACCAACACACGACATGACCGTCTTCACGCTAGAAATGCGGCATTGTCACGATGCTGCATGAATCAAGGCACGCTCTGCGGACTGCTAGGCGGGCCCGGGTGGGGACTTGGCCCTGAAAGTCTAGGCCCTGCTTGGAAATCTGCCTTCCTAGAGCCTATGATTTTAGAAGGAGCTGGGAGAGCTCCAAAGCCGTGGGCGGAGGGGAGAAGTTCTGACAGCTGAATGGTCGGAGCCCAAACAATGCCTTTCTCTGTGCAGCTGGGCTCTGCACCTGGTGCCTGCGCAGGGGCCTCTGTGCCTTTGTCCTTCCTCACGCAGCGATGACCACACACGGGCGGAGCTTATAAATACCCTCCGAAGGAGAAGTGAAACCACTGACCAGTTCTCCTTTTCTCTGCTTAGTTGGCGCCCGGCGGCTGAGAGCAGCTGGTCCACGCTCACGTTCCCCAGCCCAGTGGCTCAACCTGCTCTTATTATTTTATGGTTGGGAAGCTTTTGGCAAACATCCTGTTTAGAAAAAAATAGGACTCATACTGACTTTCAGGGGCTAAATTTACCAACTAGAAACTTCAAACAAAATAAAAGAGAAAGCACAGGAAAGGGCAAGGCCCATGAGTACTCCGCTAACAGAGACGGAACATCAAAGTCTCCTTGGGGTGAGCTTTTTACCTGTACATAGAAGGTCCTGGAGCTTGTAATGATTTCAAACAGGTTGTCCCTCATCAGCAGATCCCTAGACAGAGAAGAGGAAAGTTAGCAGGCAGGCGGGTGCACACACTGGGGACCTGATCTGTTCTACATCAAGGCACCAGGACCGTCTCCCACAAAAAGCGGGCTCCTGGGCCTTTGCTCCCTCAGCCCGTGCCCCAAAAACGTCACAGGGCTTTCTCTGGCTTCACTCCTTTGAGGGTCTTGGAAGGTTCTGACACCCCCATGGAACTCCTCACACACACATCACCAGCACCACCAGATCTAACAGATCTACAGCTCATTCCTTCTAACAGGTTGTCCAAGCTGCAGCCCACCGGCCGCCCACATCCCAGGTTGGCTGTGAATGCAGCCCAACACAAAATCATAAATTTCCTTAAAACATTATGAGATAGTTTTTGTGATTACGTGTCACAACGTAGTTAACGTAGGGCCCAAGACATCTCTTCTTCTTCCACTGTGGCCCATAGATGCCAGAAGGTTGGACGCGCCTGCAAACCTCCTGTTAATACCTACCACACCCCACGCCACCTACAGTTGTGGGGATTTTTTGTTTTTGTGGGTTTTTTTCATGCCTAAGAATGCACAATGTGCTTTGTGCAAAGTACTGATTTGTTTTTTTTAGAATCAAGTAGATGAAAATTTTATTATATATCTATAGATAGGAAAGTATGTGTGTGTGTGTGTGTGTGTGTATGTGTGTAGCTCTCTCTCTCTCTCTCTCTATAGCTGTATCTATATATAGAGACAGACAAATGTACAATGCAATGACTTGGCATTTGCATATATTGCAAAATGATCACCACAATTAAGTCTAGGTAACATTCATCACCATGCATAGTTACAAATTTTTTTTCTTGTGACACAACCTTTTAAGATCTACTTCTTAGCAACTTTCAAACGTACAATGCTATATCCTCCACACTGTACATTACATCCCCAGGACTTATTCATTTTATAACTGGATGTTTGAACCTTTTGATCCCCTTTACCCATTTCACCCACCCCCACTCCCAACCTTTAGCGGCCCAGTCTGTTCTTCGAGGAAACCCAGGCTCAGAGAGGTTACGTGACTTGTCCACGGTGCCAGCGTTAGTAAATGGAAGAGTCAGGATTTGAACCCAAGTCTGGCTCCAGGGTCTCTGCTTTGATGACTCCACTAATGTTTGCCTCTCCTAAGAGAATCAAATCTCCCATATCCAAACCTTCCCTCAACCCAAGCAGCAACCAGTCAGCTTCATCAAATTCCTGCTGTGCCTCATTACACTGGGCTGAGGGGACTGGACGCTCAAGAGGAAGGAGAGGGAGAGGAAGGAGAGGGAGAGGAAGGAGAGGAAGAGGAAGGAGAGAGTAGATGACTTTAGAGGCTCAAACTGAGTCTGGGAAGAGGGATCCTGACTTCTGCAAAGAAGGCGAGAAGCAGCTGATACTCAGTGACAAACCTTAAATCAGCTGAAACGATTTACTGTGTTAAATGTGTCATAGTGGGGGATACACAAGGAGTGAAAGACCTAATTCCTTCCCAGTAAAAGAAATTTAAAAAGCAAAACTATGTAATGTGGTGTTAGACTGTGTGCAGTAGGCCAAGAGTTAGAATAATCCCAAGAAAGGACAGATCACAGGCAGAGCTGGCTTCCTGAATGAAGACTTGAAAGGAAATGGCAGGCGCTTGGCCAGTGACACGGGCCCCAGAGAGGAGCATGAGACTAATGACCTCCATGGAAGGGGACAGGAAGACAGGGGTCAGATGGACCTGCAGCCGAATTCTGACTCCACTTTGAGAAAAGGTACTTTAAGAACATTTTGAAAACTTTCTGAGCCTTGGTACTCTCACTGTAAAATACAGATGGAGAAGGACTCCTTTTCTGGCCAGTTGCCACAAGATCAATTATAAGGTATAGAAGGCATCTGGCACAAGGCCTGACACATAGTGGTCAACTGAAACAATTCACTGCTATCATCACTTTCTCAGTCTCTGAGTATAGACGGCACTGCTTTCCAGCTAAAACGTTTTCACCTTTTAAGCTACTCATGCACACACGGAATCCACTACTGAGGAGGTAAAAGCAAACCAGGGAGGAACCCCCTACCCTTTTCACATCTACTTCTCAGGTACTTTTCACATACTTCTACATGTTGCCTTTCCATTCAATTCTACAAATGTTGGTTGACAACCCAGGCACCCAAAAGCCCTCTCACTGGGTTAGGGAGAGGACACACAGTCTCACAGGCCTGGAACCTACAGAAGAGGTTTGGGGACTCCCTTCCCTGATGATCTCCAACCCCCTTAATTCTTGTACTCAGAGTTCAGTCTGACACTGACAGATATTTAGGCAAAGTACAAAACGCTCTTAGAGCTGAACCTCCTCTGGCTCTCCGAGCTGCCCCAGCATGCCCAAAGGGTCGCACGTCTCCTCTGTACAGGCTCCCGAGGGTCAGGACCCGTTTCCGAGGCTCTGGTCACACCCAACCTTTCCTTCGCCGCACTTCCGGGGGCTTCCATCACTAGCTACTTTCGTGGACTCTCCGTTGTGATTGTGCTCTGCCACTGCCATTTGCGAGACTCGGTGCGGTGCTTTAGTCGCTGCTTCCCTGGGTCACCCAGCACTTTGTTTTCACACAAGACTCTCCCGTGGCTTCATCCGAGAGCAGTCTGCCTGCTGCTAATAGTTCCCTGAGGATGCGGGCCCTGCAGGCCCAGCCCGGGGGACGGGGAGACCATCACACAGTCCCCAAAGACTGCAGGTTCAGGGCCAAAGTGAGCATTTCTAGATGTCCAGCTGCCCTAAGGTTCCTAAAGCTTAGTTCTGGCACATCTGTATTTGGTGTTGGATATGGGAGAGCCCTTATCTAGGGGCCCCGGGGCCACAAATCACCGGTCCACTGTGATACTTGGAAGGTAACCACTTCTTAGTGGAAAGAGGAACACTTAAAAATGCCTCCTCTTTCTGCCCAGTGGGAGTGACAGAGTCGCTGTGAATCGCCTAAATGGGAAGGGGATATCAGGGACTTGTCAGAAGGGCGAGAAGAAAAAAGGCATAAGAAATTCAAGGAGGCGGCACCGGCATAAGCAGTGATCTGACCAGAAGTGCTGAAAAGTGGGTGAAAAAGGGCACAGGCCGCGCTCTGGGCCCCAGTCCTCCTGTGCACCGAGCATCTAACGCTACCACCGAGAAACATCTCAGCACCACGCTCTCCTCTGTTCCTGCAGTCTTTCTTTTTCTCCATCAGAAAATTATTACATAGGCTCATCCTCTCAGGAACGAGAGTAAAGTAATGGGCAGAGGATAAGTCAACCCAGTGTGATCTCGCATTCACGTCAGCTAGGATGTGGTGACCCAGCCACAAGACCTCAGGCCCCGGCCCTTGCGCCTGGTAGCAGACTCTCAAACAGAGCCTCAGCAAGGTGGTAAATGAAGATTTAAGAGGGCAAATGGAGGTTTTGCTCAGAAAAAAAATAAACAGAGACAATTACCCAGATTTCACCAGACACTCATGGGTCTTGAGAACATCCTTGAGAAATATAGTTCGCAGTGGTTCTCGGTCCTGGGGGTAAAACGGAAAGGTGGGTAAGTGAGGCTGCCCACATAATGCCACGGCCCAGACTCGCCGACTGACGTGCCTTGCTCATCAGAGGCGGTTGGCTAAAAACCAGGTTGCAAACAAGGCAAGGTCTCCAGTTAATCAAGAGAGAGAAAAAGAAATCTAAGAAGATCTCTGCGGCTCTGACCACAGAACAGCTCACTGCAAAGAAGGAGGGAGAGTGTTTGGGCCGCTGTGATATCACTGTGACGGTGAGCACACGGGACGGATGGAGATAAGACAGAGGGGCCCCTCTGAGGTCTGAGTGCGTGCCCACACCTCTACACCCCACCCCCAGGGGGTAACTTGTGTCCTCTTCCTTCCATGACATCTTGGAGGGCCCAGAGCAACTACAAACCTGATCACACTTGAAGTAGGAGATGGTAAAGTCATCGAGTGCGAAGAAGCGACGTTTCCAGCTCTTGCGCTGAAATAATAAATAAGTAAAGAGCAGGACGTTAGAAAGAGGTCGCAGCATTGCAGAGGGTGTTCCAGTTCTAAGCTCCCAGGGACCCGGCCCCATGAAACCTGGGCGCCCACACTCAGTGGGGACACAAACTTCCTCCCGCCTGAGACAATGCCTCTGACTTGTGGGGCGAATGTTTGGTGCCGAGCCTCTCAGGGTCTGCGCAGGGGCACGGAGGACAGCAGCTCTACACCCACACCCAGCCGCTCCAGCCCCGGTGCTGACACTCACCACGTTCCCTTGCTTCACACAGTAGCCACTCTTAATGAGGGGAGGGCCAGTGGGTACACGGCAGCCTGTCGTGGGGACATAACTCTGAGACCTTCGAAGGATGGCGTGGGACCCTGGCTCACCGCCTTCCTGCCCATCCCCACCATTCTACAAGGAAACAGTGTCAGGGTTAGCACCGCCCCCTCGATCATTAGGCAGCCTCCCCTCTGCCCCGCCCCGCTCCCTCTGGCCAAGTCACCTCTTGCCTCCCTGTCCCTGGTGACAGTCAAAGAGCTAAATAAGAAAATAAGCATCTCCTTTGCTCCCGTCAGGCTCTGCACCGGGGGCTCTCCTGGAGTAAGGCTCAGGGAGGTTGGGCAGGCCCAGGAGAGAGGGGAGGACTGAGAGGGCAAAGCAGAAGAGCAGGAAACCTCACGTGCCTTGCTTAGCCCCTCTCCTCATGGGGTTTACATGCGCTCATCTCAAAATGCGCCGGCCACACGGCTTCAAGATACAGTGGCCTCGGTTTCTACGCTGCCATTACCTACCTCCACCCCAGCCCTGCTGTTTCTCGCCCACCCCCCTGCCCTGGCTCCATCCCCCCACCCTTTCCTCAGCACTGTCCCCCATGCGTCACTGGCACACCGCGGACCCCTCACACCCCCAACCACCCCCCCACCCCGGCAGCCCCAGGCGCCAGCACCTGGTTGATGAGTGTTTGCACCACTACCCCTCCGATGATCTCTGTCTTGTAGGCCACCTGTGGCTTCTTCTCGAGGCCTGGGGGAACTGCTAGGTTTTTGAGAACTTCGGTCGCCAGGGGCATGCTCCCAGGTTTGGGTACCTGGGAAGAATGATGGCACTGCGGTCAACGGGGAACAGAAACTTAGGAAAAGCAGGGAGCCACAAGCAGGGTGGGAGGGGTGAGAAAAGCTAATATACCAAATTACAGTAAGACACCCCTCCTCCCCCAAGACTTCCACGGATCCATAGCTCACAAATATGCAGAACTCTGTCAACAACTCCACCACACACTCACGCGCATACATGTACACGTGAACACACAACAAATGTACTGCACACCGACTGTGAGCCAGCCTTTCCCTGTGAAAGACTAAAGATAAAACACCAAATTTAGACACGTCTCGCCCTCATGGCACGTGTCTGCCAGTGGGAGAGACTGACAAAAACTGCACAGCAAAACAGAGTAATGACAAATGATGGCAAGTGCCATGAACAAAGACAGGGGCCGAGACAGACAGCAGCAGGGGAACTGCTTGAAGTGGCGTGGTTAGCGCGGGTCTCCAGAAGAGGAGATGGGCAAACAGTAATCTGAAGGGTGGAAAGGAACCGGAAGTGTGAAGACAGAAAGCATGTCACACAGGGGACAGGTAACACGCACGTGGTATATGGTACAGAATTAGGAAACGTGAGCTTTGGAGCCCAAGGGCCTGGGAGATAAGCCCTGACCTGTCACCAATTAACCAAGGGACCTTCAGGCAATTCATTGGATGTCTCTGGGCCTACACAGTCTCCTATGTAAAATGGAAGGTGAAACAACATTTATCTCGTAGAGTTGTTGTGGTTATCCAATGATAGCGTACAGACATTTAAAAACTTCAGAAAGACAAATAAAAATACAAAACTATTACATATTATTTTAATTAACATTTCACAAACAGTACTAACATTGATAAACAGCCCTTTCTGAAGAGGGAGCTGTCTTTGTCCCTCACCATGGCTGATCACACACACAATCACAGAATCTTCATGGTTAGCTGGAGACCACAGGCCACAGGTTGCAAACTGCTGACCCAAAGGCAGACTTTGTCTAAACTGTGATCTATTTGTCCTATGTAATACGTGTTTCAATCTACATTTAACATTTGGGATATTTCACACAAAAATCCAGATTTCCAGCCAAGCAGCAGCTCACTCTTTAGATGGGGAATACATTCTCCAGCCTGCCGCCATCCCTCCCATTCCCCCGACACCGAGGCCACGCTTCAGGTGGCACTGGTCCTCTTTACGCTGTTTTCCTTCCTCCTTGTCCATGTCACTCATTTGTAACAGAGTCTGCAAACTCTGAAGAAATCTTTCATTTTGTAAGAAAAAAAGAGAGGCCCAGAATACGCAAGTCATTTCGCTAAAGCCATGACTAATAACTGAACAGAGACAAGACTGACTTCCAGCTGGTGTGGTGCCCACAGCATCACACAGCCTCTTGCTCACAAGAACTCAGTGCAGGCCGCCTGAGAAAAGCTAACATCCTCTTCCGTTTCTCCCACAGTCTGGCGAGTCAGAGAGACCAAAGAATGAAGACCCTTCAAGAGCTCACAGCTCAGGGGGACCAAGTACCACTCCATCTGGTGTCCACTCAAAGGAGTAAGACCATGTGATTACGCTGGGGCCCCAGAAAGATGAGACCCCCTCTTTCTGGCCTGCAACCTCAGCGCACACAGGCGAGGGTGACCTCTGCCCACCATCTCTCAAGACTGAGCAGGACACCCTCCCTGTCTTTCCCTTCTCGCGGTTGAGAGAGAGCAGAGACTCCCAATGCTTTGGGCCTCCACTCAACACCAAGCAATGAGCTAACCTCTTCACCACATTATCCCTAATCTCAAGGAATCTTATCAAGTAGGTATTATTTTTTTCCATTTTATAGATGAGGTAAACAAAAGCTCATTAAAATGAAGTAATTGGCCTGAGGACTGCCTGACTCACCGGTGCTAAATACACCTACCTACCTACCTACCACCCATTCTAACTTTCTCTGCGTTTTGCTGTTGTGAGATAAAATTTCTTAGGAATGCTGATTATTGCTGAGGTGTTTAGTGATACCATCACCATGGAACAGCAGAAATTCTCCCCAAATGACCCAAATGAATTCCTGAAACCCGGCTAGAATATGGGGACATAGCCTTTTGAGTTCTCAGTGGCCAGAAAAAAAAAAAAAAAAAAAAAAACCCTCACAGAAGGTTGGCTGGTGTGTTGCCTGCCTCTCCGAGTCTTGTCCTCCACCCGGAGAACAGCCGGTGGTCACTGCTCCTGCCCCTGCTGCGCAGGCTGCTTCCCACCAGCCTCCCAGCGCCTTGCCAAAACCACTCCCCATCCAAAGGCTTTGAATCAGCCTGTGAAGGACCAACTCAACAAAACCTATGCTCCAAGCTTGAAAACAAGGTCATCCTTTTGGTTCGTCCATATCCCAGGAGCCTAATTAAAGGTGTGCCCTCTTCCATCCACCTGTGGCATGTTCTCCAGCGCTGGAGTTCCCCATGGGTTTCATTCACAATGTGAAATGAAACGTGCAAGGACTCATCTTTCTTCTCACCAAGCCTGGCGAGGCTGCTGCGACGGATAATCCAGCGTGGGGCGCGGGGGGGAGCTGTGCTTCAGTCCACTTTCAACCCTTTTCGGAGTACTGAGTTGAACAGTGTTACCCCGTAACCTCAAAACGTGACCCGGTTGGGAAACAGGCTCTTTGCACATGGAATTAAATTAAGATGAGGTCATACTGGTTGAGGGTGGGCCCTCAGTTCTAGGACGGATGTGCTTTAACAGGAGAGGTCACACAGACTGCCAGGCCATGCAAGGATGGAGGCAGAAACAGAATGATGCAGCTCTAAGCCAGGAACACCGGGGACTGCCGGGAGCCGCCCGGAGCTGGAGGAGGCCAGGGTTCTCCCCCAGAGCCTCCGGAGGGCACACAGCGCTGCTGATGCCTTGGTTTCAGACTGCTGGCCTCCAGAACTGAGGGAGAATAGATTTCTGCTGTTTTAAGCCACCCAGTTTGTTATGGCAGTCCTAGAAAAAAATACAGAAATACTAATACTCTGAGAGAGCCCGATTCTTTAAATCCCACATGTTGATCGTTTTCTTCAAGCATAAGGACTCCATGACCTTAGCATAATATGAACAATGATCTGTGGGCAGAAAAACTGGATCTGTCCTGGCTCCGTAACCTTGGGCAAGCCACTTTGATCTCTAGGCATTTGCATCTCATTTATAAATGGGGATAATTATACTTGCTCTTCCTACTTAAGGTTTTTACAAGGCAAAAATGAAACCATGTATTTAAAAGAGGTGTTTAATCTAACATATTTGAACACAGCTGCTCATTTCTTATACTTCTATAAACTCCTAGGTCTTGGGAGCCAGGGGGTCCTGAGGTTCGAATCCCAGCTTCATCACTTACAAACCTCTACACTTTGGGCAAGCCTCTTGATTTCCCTTCTCCTCCTCCAAAAAAACGACAATAAAACCACCTGTCTCACAGAGTGATGTATGGTGTGAACGTATAGCACATGTGTAGGTTTGGCTCACTACGCTACCTGTTCCCTCTTTCATCTCTGTATCCCAAGTGCCCGATGCTTCCCTTTGCACATGAGGGTCCTTAAAATTAATATGGATATTATCCAGGTGGTGTCCCAGCCCCCCATCTACCCCTCATCCTAGCCTCCCTAAGGAAGGACAGACAACAGAAGATGACACAGAACTGCAGAAAGGAATAAACCCTCCCAGGATATAAAAAGATTAGGAGGGTGTAGACTGCCCCTCCTCTTCCTTCTGTCCCACAAGATCTTCGGCAGGCGGACTGATGCAATGTATTTATGGAACTAGGATAGTGAGGGGGGGTCCTGGAGATTGTGGAGACCCTGAAAAAGGCTTTAATATCCCACCACGTCTTTAGACTTCCAGCCTCTGGGCACCTGCATGCTTCTCCCACTTCCGCAGCCTGGAACCTCCTCTCCACTGGGCCAGAAAAGAGCAAGGGAACTAGCTGATTAGAGCAACTCTCCACTCCAGGCAGGAAAGAAAGGGAAAGAGGTTCTCAGCTGCCTCACAAACTGTGTAGTCTAGTTCACCGGGCAGGAATAGCAGCGGAAATCCAGGAGGAAATGCTGAATGAGGACAAAGTGCCAGACATCGAAAGAAACTCCCCAAATTGTGGGAGATGCAGAAGGGTGAAGACCCCAACATGAATGGAGAAAGCCTTCACTAAAATCAGCGCTCCAGAGCCAGGTCCAGAAGCATATGGGTGAGCAGACACATGGGTTAGCAGCCATCTCCTGCCTTTTGCTCTCTTTTCCTGGCTTTAACAAAGTTCATCAGAAAAACAAGCTAACAAGCAAAACGACTTCAGTGACTGAACTGTACTTTCTGTGGGTCCAGCATCACAGGTGCTGGACAGGTGTAGATTTCTTCTATTACTTTTTTCACAGGAACCCTGATGCATCTGGAGAATGATCTGCCCTAGCATATAATGGTTATTATTGGAAGTCACTGGAATGCAAAAATCTCTGACAGTATGGTACAGAAAATCAAACTTTTCAGCATACAAACCATATTTATGATGCCACAAGTCTGCCTAGGTTACTTGGTTAAAGGTTTAGTGTTTTCCAAAACATACAGTTTCCCTCTCTTCCTTCCTACGCTTCTCGCTTTCTTTTTCTGTATTTCTAGGGAAAAAGAAAGGAGTTCTTCCTCAATCAAGGAAAATGAGAGTACTCGTGACCAGTCAGTGAACTAGTTCAGTGATGCTTTTAAATAAAACATCTCTGCAGGGCAGGTTGGTGGATGGCCTGGACTGACCCCCACCCTAGGCCACTCTTAAGAGTGTGAAGATTATTCCCTCAAGCCAGGACAAAGTTCTGACTTCCCTTCTCATATGCTTTTTCCTTCACTCCACTTCTCTTTGTCAGCAATGCATTTTCCAATCCCACCACCTTCTGATTCAGCATTACCCAAAACACAACTGACCAGAAGCCCTCCCAGGAAGCACAAAGCAGACGCTCCGCGAACTTCCCGTTGAACTCGATTCAAACTCTCTGTTCAACTTGTAGTCAGGCATGGTGCAAGAAGAGGTAGGGGAACTGGGTCTGGGACAAGCTTCTGGAAAAGCCCCTGCTGCCCCCGGAATTCCTCCCCACCCAAACAGCCCATATGCAGGGACGAGGCGCAGACCCCTCCAGAGAGGAGAGGAAATCATACGTACGGTGATTTTGCTGGCTTGATTCAGGGCCTCAACCCAGTCCTTCAGATCTTTCTGGTCATTGGCTTGAAGAAAATACCGCTGAGAGAGGGCATTGATGACTGCAGCAGTCATGGAGACGAAGGGAGAAAAACCCAGGTCAGAACACATGCCGCACAGAGACTCCACAAAAGCAAGGTGCTTGAAGTAGCGAGGGGAAGGGCCCCCACAAAGCAGAGGAAGACTTTTCCCATGGGGCGAAGTCACCTGCATGAATATTGGGGGAGCAGCAGGCTATACTGCTCTCTCTTTAGAAATATGGGTTATTCCATTGGCCACAAGAATGGCACCTGACGTTAACAACAACCTTTAACACGCTGTTGTGCAATGAGTAATGAGGCTGCTAGTCGGCCACCAAGAAGACACATGCTTGAACTGCTTTTCAGAAGTGCTGACAGATTTCCATTCATAATAATACATATATAATTTTGGCCCCAGTGCTCCTTGTTTCCATTGGCACAAGTGGCCTGGGTTAGGAGTATTGTCTGTGGTTTGAAAATGGAACAAAGCTTCCCTGAAATCAAATCATCAAATCTGTGACCCTGACCTCATTTTCAACCTGTTCTTTCCTCTGAGCACTCCATTAGGTCAACAATTGACTTCTGGGTTCATAATTTTTTTTTTAAATAGATCTGCTGACCACAAAATCTGAGAGCGTCATTTTTGAGCACAGTAGTGACATCTAAAAAAAAAAACAATGGAAGAATGAGAGTACCAGGGAAGCTTGAACCAACCTGAAGCTGGGAGAGAGGATGACTCCAGGGACCATTTGATTCTCTTAGCATAAAAAAGCCTGAGCTACTTAAGAGGCGAGAATCATGGGACATGGAATTCCTTATACCTCATTCATTCAGTCAACCAGTATTTATCAAGCATCTACTATGTGCCAGAACCACTCTACATGCTGAGGATACAGGAATACCCCTGCCTTCGTGAGCTGACACTCAGAATCACCCTAGATATACAACAGAAACTATTATCATTTGCTTGTAGCACTTAATACAGTACTGACAACATAGTGAGAGCTAAATATATACTGATGAGTCAATCTCTTGGGGAATCAACCGAGTGGCTCTGATTCTTGTGTCACCCCAATACTGTCACTTGTCTGGCAATACTGAGACCCTTAACAGAATACCCCTTCTTTTCTATTATCCCCCAACTTTCCCAAGTCTCCGCCTTACCTGAGCACACCACTAAAGAGCTCTGAACTGAGGGTTCCTAGAAACTTCTAGTAGGTATTTTGCACCCTACCCTGTGGAGTCAGAACTTGCAACGCCACTGGACCTCTGTCTTGGGTTATTAATAACCTTTGCGGTGAGACCAAGGAAAGTAGTATCACTTGAGAGCCAGGAACATGGCTGTGACTGAAGTCACTCATATACACCGGGTTTAAGCCACATGTGATCACCAGACCGTCTCCATGCAAAAGAGGAAGTTGCTGTGGGAGTGTTCAGAAAACCCATCCTCTAGCTCGGTACTTACCAAAGCAAAACGGAGTCTTTGGCTTCTGCTTTGGGGTAGCTATGCTCACCTAAATCAAATTTAAAAAAAATAAAAGAAACATAACCATGTTTCTAACTGTTAAAAAGCACTTTTTCCCAATTGTTTTATGTGAAACGTTTTCTTACAAAAAGAAGCGTACATAAATATGTGAACACATTTAAAAAAATAATAATTAAGTGGAAACTGTATTCACCATCCAGATGATGAAACAGGACATTATCAGCCACATTTCTCAGAAGTCCTTTGTGTGCCCCTCCCTGAGAGGGTCCCAACCCCACCTCTCAGAGATAACCACTATCTTGATGTCTTTGTTAATCTTTATCTTTTCAAAAACACTTTCAAAAGCCACTGAGTCCAGACAAAAAATTTTCTTTGGACCAAAATACCTGCACTGGCCCCACTCACACCAGCAAGATTCTACTCCTCTCTTAACCACCATGCTCTCTCCCTGAACTGTTCTTTATGTTGAAGGTGATACTGCTACAAATACACAGATTTCAATTGCAGCTCACAGAAAGATGAGGCAGCATGGATCCCACTGCGTTTGGACACTCTGATAGGTCTCCGATACATCCACCCTGACTGCTTAACCAGGAAAACGTGCGCTTTTCACATGTTCCAAGGGGAGCCAATGGAGTCAGAGGGCGTAACTACATACTGAAGAAAAGGGCATAAGGAAGTAGAAATATTTCTTTACCTCTTGTTGTTTGATTTCACCTTGCTTTTTCAATCCTACCCCTGGCACATACATTCTTGATCATGTGCCCCTGAACCCACCTCTCTGAGGTTCAAATAAATTGAACGAATACAGAGAAGCAACTCATATTCCATGAAACGCCCACAGAGTTTAGGTGAGTACCCTTGATGGAGGGTGGGCCTCCCTGGAGCAGACCTCGCCCACTGGACCTGGGTTTCCTAAGGGGCCGGCCACCTTCCCCCAGGAACTATTCCCACATGGTCATAATCCTCCTGAGGACACCATTCCTTCAACCCCTTTCCAGCCAAGGACATTCTCTTTCTTGTTCTCAAGAGGGGCCCTAGGAGTGGTTCTTGCTTTAATGGAAGACATGAAGCCAGAAGCGAAAAAAAAAAAACCTTGAGTCAAAATTAAGGTCTCTTCTTGGCTCACGGTTGCTGAGGGTCTGTCATGACTGGCGCGCCAGTCTGTCTGGATTCTCACTCTTGGCTCTAAATTCTTTCTACAGACCTGTCCGGATTCCTTACCAACCGAAATGAAGCCTGGCCCGGATATTCAAGACGGCAACTGAGGAAGCCGCCTATCAAAGGAAGGACAGGCAGTGTAGCCTGGGTTCTGGTGCCAGACGACCAGGGCTCAAATCTGAGGCACCCCGGTTCGTGACCCCTATTTCCTGTTCCATCAAATAGGTATAATAGTAGCATGTTCTCATAGAGCTATTGTAAGGACTAAATGTGATACTGCAGGTAGGACACTTACCTACCACATAGGAGACGGTTCAGTAAAGGAGAGGCTATTGCTCTTGATACTTCATTTCCTTTAAAACCCCACTCCACATTATTTAGCACACGCAGTGCCATGCTTGGCAGCATGAGCAAAATGCTGAGAGCCTTGTGAGCTTCTCAGGGCCCTCAAAAAACGTGTGAAACCTGAAAAAATGCCTGGCCTCCAACATACGAAATGAATATGGCATACTCAGCATTAATAAATATTCAATTAAATGTCTGTATAACATCCTCTCAACCTCAATGACGAGCATTTAATTAAATGCCTACAACAGGCCACATTAAGTCAACTTCATTAACATTTCACTAAAACATTCACAAAAATTTCATTAGATTCAAAAACTGTAGTAGCTGTGATTTTCTTAGTTCACAGAATACTTGGGTGTGCAAGATGATTGCCAAGAAATTAAAGCCAATCAAAAATTAAATGACTTACTCAGAGCCAAATCTTTCCAAACGTAAAATAATTAAAACCCTTCCCCCGACACTGCCACTATGTCTCATTTTGGCTGTAATTGGTTTACAGTCAAACAATTGTGTTTAATGAGAAATGTAGGTACGTTTTGGTATGTTTACCACAAAGTGAGGTGGAGGCCAAAGGGCCCAAGAAAGTCTAAACAGTCCTGAAAAACATGAAGATTTAAGGAAAGGTGACCCATATATTCTGAGTTCAGACACCAACTACTCCAATTGAGGCAGGTCTTCACCTCTCCCAGGAACCATGCATTGGAGCTCCATGACACAACAGTCCCGGGCTCTGGCCTCTGGGCTCTCTAGTTTTCCTGAGTTTTAGACCCCAGCACTCATTCTGAACCACAGTGTGTGCTCTATCCTGCTTGCGTCTGATGCTCTGATCTGTCAGTGACTCATTTTCTTGCAGCATCTGTGTTCCTGCGGGTCCTCGTGCCCATGAACACCTGTGTGTCCTGCCCTTGGTTCCTGTATAACCCTGGCCATCAGAGAACTGCCTTGGGACCCCAAACCTAAGAACCCACCTATCTCGTGGCATCCCTTCTACTTTCAGCTCTGGGAGGGCAATGAAAAGCTGGGCACTTTGAAACCTTCTCCAGCTTCTTAGGAAACTCTTGCTCCCAGAAACTAACATTTATCATTGACTAGAAAGAGCACCACTGGGGACACTTTTCACCCTGGCTGAATGACAAATGGTCCACTTTGATCACAATTTATTACCAACCTTTACTGTGAGAATGCTACCCATGTGCTCACTGTGGGAACTGACGCTTTCAAAGAGATCGCCTGGTTTTCATTTGCTTGTTTTTATATGTTCTCCAGTTATCAGTTGGGGGTATGCGTGTTTATATGCACACACATCTATAATTTGCCTCATGCTTCATGACTTTCCACAGAACCATTATTTGGCAAAGCAGTTCCTTGCTGAATTACCTAAATATCGGTTCTAGTTCTGCCCCGATGGGCTGTTAAGCGAGGGCTAAGACCCTCAATGTCTCTGATCAACTTCCTGATTAGCAAAGCCAGAGTAAAATGCTATGGTCAAAGAAGGGCAAAAAGAGGAAAGCAAAATTCTATCTACCTGTGCTGTGCCCCTCAAAGAGCAGGGCCAAGGAGGGGTTCTTACTGTGAACAGTTAGCTCTGGCCTCCTCCTGACATTCTGGTGATTGTGGAAGCAGAATCCTTGGTCCCTGGCAAGTATAACCCTTCCCCCACCCACACCCCCACCACATCTTGGTGATCAAACCCTTCTCCCCACACCCCCACCACATCCCAGACAGAGTGAAGGGGCCAACAACCCTAAGGAGTGTGGCTGACAGGCCAACTAGGTGAGGGCAGTCAAGTGCAACCATCTGTGTGCCGCAAGGTGGCCTCAGCTGAGTGGCTGCACAACTGTGGTTGGCTGGTGGATCCTGGGTTATGCAAGCAGTGAGAGGAGGTCGGGATGTGAGAGGGGAATGAGCACAGGTCACCCAGAGAGTGACGCAGATGAGGCCGCTCCACAGTGACAAAGACTCTGAGGAACTTGTTCTTATCAGATCAAACAGAGACCACAGGAGCAGCCAGCTCATCGGTGGCAGGACTCTGCTAGCCTGCCCCACCCTGCCTGTCCTTGGCCGGAAGTGGAGCTGGGGCCCCTCTGGCACAGCAGCAGCCGCAGAACGAGGTCTAGGAGCTCGGTGTAGCTCTGCCCCAGGGCCCAGGGCAGCCCTGCCCTACAAGGTGACATCAAGAGCAGAGGAAGAGAAGCAGCAGCCGCCTACACAGCATGACTGGAGGGGCCCTAAGTTGAGGTCTCCGAACCAGTCAAGGGTCAATGGGCCCTGAAATTACAGACAATTGTGTGTGCAAACATGCATACTTTACCTGGAAAATGAGTCCACACTTTTCATCAGACTCTCCAAAGGACCCATGACCCACCCCAAAAGTTAGGTATGTGGACCCCACGATAAAAAGATTCATTTGATGTGAACTCCAAGAAGAAATTTATCTGCTGAGATAAGTTCCCCAATGGTCAACTGAGGGCCCAAATTTCATAACTGATAAGAGTCTAGCAGCCATATGCTGACAGGGGCTTCTCATGTAGTCTGTATACCAGGAAGGACCCCAGACTGGGCTCTTGGCTTCCTGCATTATGCCCTGCTCATTTAATCTATCTGAGTCAAGTATTATAAGAGAATTCCTGATTTTGTCTTTGGACCAATGAATTGAGACTTGCCCCATCCAATCAAAACTACACAGTTATATCCTCATTTGTCAAACCAACCAATCAGAATTGTTCTATAAAAACCAATCAGGATACATAATGCTGATGAATTGGGACTGCATGATTTGTACCAATCAGAACCATACAGTCGGGTCAAGATGGAGGAGTAGGTAGACACACTTTTATCTCCTTGCAGAACCGTAAGAAAGATCACAACTAACCTCAATACAAAAAACACCCAGAACTGCCATAAAATCTAACTATATGGAAGTCTGACAACCAAGGATTTAAAGAAGCCATATTCATCCAGACAGGTAGGGGGGCGGAGATGGGGGACCGGGGCAGAGAAGAGCAGTGTGGCAGCAGAGACAGCGGCCAGCGGAATGGACGGTCCCACATTCACATGTGGTAGGGAAAAACTGGGAGGGACACCTGGAGAGCAAATGATCCCAGCCCCAGAACAGACTGCACAGCCCAAGGTTCCAGTGGAGGGAAAATAAAACCTCGTAACTTTTGGCTGTAAAAACCAGTGGGGGTTGGGGCAGTGGAAGAAACTACCAGTCTCTAAGGAGAGTCCACTGAAAGGGTCCACACTGTCCAAGACTGGACGCAAACCCACCCACTCTGGGAACCACCACCAGGGCAGCAGCTAGGAAGGCGTCAGTGCATACAGGAAGTGGGTGAAGTGACTGGGAATGGGGCAAGTGCCGAGCAAGCCTCCAACAGCCAGGCAGCGGCATTGTCCCCTTTCTGACTGCTCCCTCACATAAAAAGCCACAAAGCGGTGAAGTGGGTTACCCCACCTGGTGATTACCTAAGGCTCTGCCTCATTCAACATAACAGGTACGCCAAGATAAGGAGTCAAAGCGCTCTACCTAATACACAGAAACAAACACAGAGAGGCTGCCAAATTGAGGAGACAAAAAAATATGGCCCAAATGAAAGAAGAGAACAAAATCCCAGAAAAAGCACTAAGCAACAAGGAGAGAGGCAACCTATCAGATGGAGAGTTCAAACACTGGTGATAAGGATGCTCAGAGAACTCACTGAGTATAGCAAAAGCATAAGGGAAGAAATGAAAGCTACACTAAGTGAAATAAAGAAAAATCCATGGGGAACCAACAGTGAAGGAAAGGAAGCCGGGCTTCAATTCAATGATTTGGAACATAAGGAATAAACAGTCAACTAGAACAAATGAGAAAACAAAAATTCAAAAAAAAAATAATAATAATAAGGAGAGAATAAGACGACTCTGGGGAATCTCCAAAAATGCCAACATCCAAACCATAAGGATGCCAGAAGGAGAAAAGAACAATAAATTGAAAACTTATTTGAAAAAATAATGAAAGAAAACTTCCATAATTTGGCAAAGGAAATCAACATACAAGTCCAGGAAGCACAGAGAGTCCCAAACAAGTTGGACCCAAAGAGGACCACACCAAGACATATCATAATTAAAATGCCAAAGGTTAAAGATAAAGAGAGAATCTTAAACACGGCAAGAGAAAAGCAGACAGTTACCTACAAAGGAAATTCCCTAAGAGTATTAGCTGATTTCTCAAAGAAACTTTGCAGGCAAGAAGGGACTGGCAAGAAGTATTCAAAGTGATGAAAAGCAAGGACCTACAACCAAGATTACTCTATCCAGCAAAGCTATCATTTAGAATTGAAGGGCAGATCAAGTGCTTCCCAGACAAGGTGAAGCGAAAGGAGTTCATCATCATCAAGCCCTTATTAGATGAAATGTTAAAGGGACTTATTTAAGAAAAAGAAGATCAAAACTATGAAGATTAAAATGACAACAAATGCACAACTATCAACAACTGATTCTAAAAAATAAAAACAAGCTAAGCAAACAACTAGAACAGGAACAGAATCATAGACATGGAGATCACACGGAGGGTTACCAGCAGGGAGGGGAAAGAGGGAGAATGGGGAAAAGGTACAGGGATTAAGAAGCATAATTGGTAGGTACAAAATAGACAGGGGGAGGTTAAGTATCGTATAGGAAACGGAAAAGCCAAGGAACTTATATGCACAACCCACGGACATGAACTAAGGGGGGGACTGCTGGAAGGAAGGGGGGTACGGGGCAGGGCGGGGAAACTTTCTCTATAGATGACACACTTCCAGTTTCGGCGAGAGGCTACATCTCCCCAGGTTGCAAACCATTCACGTGAATGAAGTATCTCCGTCTTCTAATCTTTTGGGGAATTTCTGTTGACAAGAACCAGTGTCCTAGGAAGGTCTTCCTTCTCGTTGCTGAGGGCAAGGCCCTGACAAAACAGGACACGAGCTGCGGCTGGGGCAGCGGGACTGGCTGTGCGAAGGGCCACTGGGCGAAGTGAGAACACTGCGCAAAGGCCAGCGTCAGTTATTTTCTCGTGTGCCCAGGAACTGGTTCTGCTGCCCTGGCTGCCCTGGATGACATCAGGTGAAGAACTTTCATCTCTGCCGGCCTCTCTGAAGGACCCCATTTTCCCAACATGAGCCCTCAAGAAGGAGACACTGGGGGAATCCCTGAACAGAAGCCACGCATACACCAGAAGGCAGGCTGGCACTAGGGGAGGGCATACCTAGGGGTTAATACGAAATAACCTGGAACGCTGAAAAGTGATGCTGGTACCGCTGCTTCATGCTTTCCTGGGAAAAACCCCCACATTCTGGCAGGAGTTAACGGCCCTCGGCTCTGTGTAACCTGACCCACGGCAGCTGTGGGTTTGCAAACGGCCAATCCAGGCCTGTCTCTCCCATGAAGGGCTAAAAGGCAGGTCCATCCTTTCTAAGCGAGGCCATCTCCAAAGCTGAGAATTCCAAAAACCCTCATCTGAGCTGCACTTACAAGTCACAATTCAGCAAGAGACTGTAGTCACTCTTCCCTCAACCAAAAAAAAAAAAAAAAAAAAAAATCTTCCCAAACCCTCTCAGTCAGGCAGGTTTGGGGGTTTCACTGATACTGAGGTTCTCTCTGAATTGTCTTTCTCTGAATCTCCTACAGAAATGGCCTAACGATCTCACAGCAAGTCTGGACAGGAGAAGGGAGGCAGCCACATTTCCCACCCAAGGCAGGCACAAATTTGAGCTTCCAAAGGCCCGCCCTCTGCCTCCAGGTCACCGTCTCCTCTCTCTAGCAGCTCAGAGTACCCAGCTGTGTCTGCCAGACTCTCCTGCAGCTGAGATGGAGGGCTGAAGCCAAGGACTCCCCAAGCTTGTTATAAAAAGGAGCCAGGAGCTGTTCAGATTATGGTCCCCTCCACCCGTCTCAGCCCCCTGAGGGTGGGAGAGCCTGATCAAGGAAGCAGAGAACCCCAAGAGGCCTGCAGTGAGGGGTAAGTGGGCCGAGCAGGACTTCCGGAACCTCAGGGCTGGCGGGGTGCCACCTGGCTCTCCTCATTGGACAAAGAGTTCCTCTTTCTGCTGAGGCTCTATATCCTCTGACCTTTTTTATCATTGCTGCCTCAAGGGTCAGCCCTGGAGCCTGCTCTAGGGAGGGGCCGCTAAAAGAAGCTGAATTCGGCAGCGACAGGGGAGCACCATCAGCCAGCTCCACCCCCCGCCCCCCACCACCAGGTCTCAGCCCAGAAGAGGGGCTGCTCTCACCCTGCCAGCCCATCTGCCAGACTCTACAGCAGTTACCTGGCTGCTGAAGGGTTTCCTGGTACATCTGAGCACCTTCTCAAGGCATCTTTAGCCTTCCCTCCACAGTTACCCTGTCCCGGTGATTGATAAAATTCCAATACAACCCCACCCTTTCTGAGATGCTCCTGTTTAATTACACCCTTTGGGAGAATCCTTTACAGTCACTGGGGGTTTTCTGTTGTTGTGGTGTGTTCTTCCTTGTCCCAATTACAAAAAAGGGTCACGTCTCACTCCTACCCCCACCACCACCGTCTCCTTTGCTGGAGCTGAGAGCATCACTGGCTGATGTGTCCCAGGAGGAGGAGGCTGCAGCGCCCCCGCCCACCCAACCCAAGAACCTGCTGACCACACTCCACCCCCTTCCTGGTCGGCAGCCGAGCTTCCATGGCCAATGGTGAGGAAGGGGGAGCTGCCCAAGCAACACCCCCCAATGCTAACACCCAAAGGATTTGACACCTCCTCCTGTTTAGATACTAAACCTACTTACAGAATATGAATTCCCAGAGAGCCAGACCAACATTACCTTCGAGATGTAGGTCAGCTGCAAAGATCCAACAGCTCCTGCCCCAATTGCCAGGTTCTGGAAAAAAAAAATGTTTTTCATTTTAAGAAGGACGCTATGTGAGGCCATGGAAACAGCACTAAGAGACAGGAGACCATGCTTTTAGTTCTGTTTATACCACTTACTGGCTTTGCAACCTTGAGCGAGTCACTTTCCTCCCCTGTAAAACAGTGATAATTCTTGCCATTACATGTGTGCATGAATGGCACCCATGGCCTCATGTATTACAGAGAGGTATTCTAGTACAATGGGTAGAAGTGTGGGCTCCACTGTTTGACTAATAAGTCCCTTCACCACCAATCTTCAGTTTTCCCTTCTGATAACGGCACCTACCTCACAGGGCAGTCGTAAGAATGAGTGAGTCCACTGAAGAGCACTTGGCACACAGATGACGCTGAGCAAGTATTAGCTACTGTATCTTTCTGTCCTGACTAATCTGATCTCCTTGTTGGCTTGGTCCTATTTTATGCCCCTTCAACTTCTCTTCATAATAAATGGGGTACAGATTCACACAATACAGAAATAAAAAAAATTCAGCTGCTCAGTCTGTTTCACAGGACTCTTATGATGTCCACACACTATAAAACACACAGTAAATATATAATTAAAACAGCAAGAAACTCACAGGCACCTTGTGCGGCGGTATCTACCTTGGCACAGTCGCTTTGGCCTCCTAAGTTCTCCATCGTCAGAGAGGAAGCAGTGACACGGGAAGGGGAGAGGACCAAAGAAATGGCCCAGAAATCACAGCTGTGGAGTTTCTAATCTGTAATTTGGAAAACCCACTCTCTGTGAAGCTGAGAACCTGTCCCTAACTCCTGGGAACCTTTTAAACGGTCTCCACAAACCTTAAAGAATAACCTTGAAGCCCCCATTACCTAGGTCACGGCAAAGGAATAAAGAGAGGCGAATCTTAGACAATGGGAATTTACTAAATTTCCTAAAGGGTTAACAGTGAAATGACCTGTCATTCCAGGGAGACGGCTCTCAAGAAATATCTTAGACAAGAGGGAAGATTCCTTCCAGGCCCAATGATCTAAATTAATGTATCTCTTCCTTGAAGCCAATGTAATGCGTGAACTGTTCCATTCACGAGAAAATGGACTGGAATAATACCATGCTAACCGGAATCTCAGAGCCTTAGAATTTTAGAGTTAAGAGGTCTACTAGATAGAGTACCTCCCGTTTTGCAAATGAGGCCATAAGTCTAAAATCTGCCTTTAGGTGGCCAGATTAGCATTTCAACAATGGACGATTTGATTTACACATTTTTTTTCAATTATCCAATGACTGCATTTTGTTTTTTGGGTGTTTTTTTTTTTTTTAGTCACCCTCTATTGGGTACAGCCCCTAAATCAGAGTCCGAAAAGGAGCGACAGCACCCAAGGAGGTCTGTGTGTGCCTGCCTGCCCCAGAGGATAAGTGAATCTCTCGGTGCAAACACTCAGCTCCTCCTGGAGTGAGGTGGCCAGAAGCAGGGCCTCCAGAGACATACGGAGCCACGGGCCTCTGCCGGACACGGAGCCCCTCATCCACCCCAAGTCCCCATCTTGCTCCTGCAGAAACTGCCTTGTGAGTGAAGGGATTTGTCCAAGGGAACAACTGGTGGCAGGGCCTCAACTACAGCTCAGGTCTCGTGACTCCCACTTTGATGCCTTAGAAGCAACATAGTGTAATTTTAAAAAGCAGGAGCTGTTGGAATTCTAGCTTCAGGACATCACTGCTCTACCACGACTGTAAGCAGTAATAGGCCCGGTTTCATAGTGTGTTGGGAGAGTGACGTGCAAACACACAAAGAGAGCGGAGCCGAGGTGGTTCTGATCTCCGCCCCGCATGCTAATTACAAGATGCAGATGCCAAGTCTCAGGGCTGGTCTTGCACAACTCACTGTCCTGACCCCAAACCACAGCCGAAAGGCCTCGAGGGCCCTATCCTGAATTATGAGTGATGAAGTGGGATCTGGGGAACCACTGGGACACTAACCCAAACATAATGACAGATAGGAGCCGATCAGATTTCAACTACTTCATCCACTCCACCCTCCACGGTTGCTCCACCCTCGGTGCCCTGCTTCAGAGAGAAAAAGACAGCATTTCTCCAGGCCCAGTTACCCTCGGGGCGGGGGTGTCCTCGCTCCCTCACCCACAGCCCACCCACGGTCTGCTCCTAAGCTCACGTGCACCTCCTCGCGACCACAAGAAGCCAGGAAAATATGACGAATGTCTGAAAAAACAGTTTCCCCCCCACCGTCCTCACCACCCAGAGGGAAATGAATGACAGGAGAAAACAGCCCCTGGATCCCAGAGGCTTGATCCAGAGTGACAGCTCAGTGTCCATTCCAATTACTGGACCTGGAGGATTAATGGTGACAGCTCACTGCCAGGGTGGCAGCCCCAGGCACTTCTTGCTCAAGGAAGAATGTGCCAACACGCCTGAGCTGTGAGGGCCTCAGCAGCCAGCTGTCAGGGTGGGAACACCAGGGAACAGCACCTGGGGAGGGGCCAGGCGCCGCACACAAGCAAGCTGCCTCTCCTGGCCGCCGCCTGTCTCCCCTAGGGAAGGGACAAGAGACCCCGCCTCCCCGACCTCTGCTCCCACTGATCTCGGGCACAGCAGTCCTTCCCCAGCTCTGCCGCGCATCGGACTCCCCTGGGGAGCTTGTTTTACAAGGCCCAGGCTCAAGCCTCACCCAGAAAACACTGAATTAGAATCAAGTGGAAGGCGCCTAGAACACGTATATTTTTTTAATGTTCCCAAGTGATGCCTTCATAGGCACAAGTTTGAGAACAATTAGTCTACATGGCAAAATCTAGCCCTGGATGCTGTATTGGAGTACTTTTTTTTTTTTTTTTTTTTTGCGGGGCGGTGAGTTTAAGTCTGTTCTTACTAGATTTCAAGCACATTGAAGATATAAGTAGAGCTTTACTCAATTTTTAAAGGAAAACCCTATTTGTTCAGCTCCCAAACCAGCCCGCAAACACCTGCTACCCTCATGGGGGACTGGAAGACGACACAGCCTCCACCCACCATGGGCAAACAACATTTCTTTGGGAGACTCGTTCACATTTTGAACTTGGGTGTCACTTAACTTCGCAGTTCCCATGACCTGCAGCAGGTTTCCTGTGGAACAGGAATCGGGTGGAGGGGTCATGAAAGGACGGGGTCCCAACCAAAAAGGGGTCAAGGACTTGGGCAGAGGGAGCTGAGGAGTGGGCTTGGGAGAGGTGGGAAGCCGCTGAGACGGGAGCAGCTGAGCAGATGGCGAGCGGAGACAGAGGTTGGTGGGAAGGCCGCTGTGTGAATCACCTGGGGAGAGCTTTAAGCAAACTAATATTCAGGTTTCACCCCCAAGGTTTTAACTGATCTGCGGGAGGGCCCAGGCACTTGTACGTTTTTAAATGTCCCCGGAGATTCCTCTGTGCCACCAAGTTTGAGGACCACTGCTGCAGGCACCAGCTGATCCTGCTGGCCCTGCCCCGGCAGAGACACAGCAGTTGGTGAGAGAAAGGGCCACGCCCAGCCACAGCCCGCAGAGCGGCCCGAGCTGGTGCTGCTGCAGCAGCAATAAAGAGGGACAAGGAAGAGAAGAGCCAGGCAGTGACCGGGGAGAGGCGAGGGATTCCAACTGCACGCATGGCTGGCAGCAATTGTGCGTGGAAATGTTTTTCAGTCAGGAACAACTTGTACACTTCTGGGACTTCTCAGTTTTCTGGAACAATGCAAGGCACAAGGCAGGCCGCTGATAAATGATGGCTTTATGAAGACAACGCCTTGCTTTTTGCTCAAATGTTCTTCTTCCACCAAGGACCTCAAAGAAGCTCCCACTGCCCATGAGTGGAAAGCATAGGGTTGCTTCTTTTCCATCGTCAAGCAAGGAGCTGAGGTGCCCACACAGAGACGTGACATACGTCCCCTGGCAAGCGTTTCTTCTAGAAGCAACATTTCTTGTTGAAATGGAAAAATTTTCCCATCTTCTAGTGAGAGTAACGAGAAGCATAGAAACAACCAGAAGACCTAACTATAGATTCATAAATTTGCAGAACGTCAGCACTAAAAGGTTCTGCTGATGCCTTGTCATTCACCACATGAGTCGTCCAAGGCTCAACTTGGGGAAATGACGTCCTCGAGGAGCAGAGAGAAGACGGACTGAGCCCATTACTCCCAAGATCAATCTGCTGCTCTGACAAAGCACAGCTTGAGGAAGGAAGAAACGGACCTATCTTTAGAGTCTGTTATACATCAGGCCTGCTGACAGGCACCTCTGTATGTTGCCACTTAATCTTAACAATCCCATTTTACAGACGCAGAAACTAAGGCAACTTGCCCAAGGTGACACAGGTACTGAGTAGTCAGGCCAGGGGTGGAACCCAACCCTTCCTGATTCTCAAATCCCATCTACTTTCCTTTCTACTGTGCCACCTCCCATGAGACAATCCTTCCTATGTACAAGGACCTGCTTATTATCTAAGAGTTGATTATCAATGAAAGGTAAATACAAGAGCAGGACCAGCAAGGTTACACCAAAAGAGGCCCTGCAGAGTTGCCCAAGCTGGGCAGGGCAGGAACTAGTCTAACTGGCTCTTAGGTGCCCAACTCCAAAAGACCAGGAATTCAGAGAGTGCAAAGGGGGAAGGAGAGATGCTGGTGCCCTCTTACCTTCTCTTCTATCCCTGTGGGGTTCCTAGCAGACGGGAAGGAACACAACAGGCAGTAAAAACCGGCCTGCTGGTCAGCTTATGGGAGAATTAGGAAGAGAATGTATGTGGAAATCCCTCAGCTAAGGCATGAGCCACCATGGCTGCCCATGGGCTGAAACCACAGCTCAAACCACCAAAAGCCAAAGCCAGACACGGACTCTGAGAAAAGGGCTTGCCCAAGAAGAGCAGCATGATGGGCATGGAGGGAAGAGGATGATTCCCTCTGCCCCGCATTCCACAGCCCCACGGTGGCCTGAGAGAATAACGAAAGGGAGGTGACCAAGCTGTTCCCAGGCGTTAGGGGACCCAGGCAGTGGCTTC